ATACCAACATTTTATGCTGCTAGAGAATCTGTCGCTCATCGTAACAGATTTATCCCGGTTGCTTTCTCGCTGGTTATTGAATTGTTTTATGCTGATAGACAATATCTAATTATAACTCGATAATTATGATTAGAAATAAATTACCAATTTTAATAAGATATTCGAGAATAGCATTTCAATAATGTTACGCGTATTTTAACAAAAGATCGACTAACAAGTCGATCTACAGAACGATTAAAACCTAGTTGTACGGGAAAGGAAGAAGAGGACAAAAGCGTAGATATTCCAGGAACGTCTACATTCCAAAACATAGAGGAACGAATGGAAAACCAAACTATTGAAATTGTTATCCAAGCTAAAAAGAAGACACTCCGTTTCGCAACTAATAAGTCACTAGGAAGGGAGCACGTGTGGCCAATCGTCTACAGAGGATACGACAATGCTTGGCGAGAGTTGGCAGCCAACGGGAAAACAGAGAGTACAACTAGATAGAGAGACGATATATAGGGTTTTTGTAACAGTCAAGCAGGGTTGGGAAGTAATTCGTTACTTGTAACGAAGTTATAGTTACAGTTACATTTTTTCAGTAACTGTAACTTAATTTAGTTACTTTTTTCCCACCTGTAATGACTCCTGTACACAGGACGCGGAAATGCTTGCCGCGCGACGGAAGTTCGCTCAACAGCCAATCAATATGCTGCTTTCCGTAATAACCTTCTAGCTCTTACGGAAAAACAACATATTGGTTGGCTGTCGCGCCGACTTTCGCCGCGCGGCAAGCATTACCGCGTCCTGTGTGCAGGAGCTATAACTTAACTTAGTTACTTATTTACTAGTAACTTGTAACTTTTTAACAATTACTTTAATAGTTACTTGGAAAACATAAAATAAAATTAAAATTATATAGTAATCGTATATTAATTTAATAAATTTATCAAAGTATGGAACATGATTAAATTCTTTTATCTCTACAAGACTATTATTAAATTTTTATTATGTTAAGTATAGATTTGAAATTTGTTAAGTGGATAGACTAATTAATGTGATAAATATTAATTATAAAATTTAATTCTTACATTTTAGTAAAACTTAAAATGTAAGATTTTTGTATTTACAATAATAATTAACAATCATTTCAAGAAAGTAACTTAAAAGTAACGACTCATTACTTTTTGAGTAACTGTAACTAACGAGTTATTTTTCATAGCCAGTAACTTGTAACTGTAACAAGTTACATTTTCAGCAAGGGGAAGTGTAACTGTAACTACCCAGGTAGCAAGGTGACGTCAAAAGACGTCATTAAAACGTCATAGACGTCTTAATAACGTCTTAATGACGTCTTTAGATGTCACTTTGCTACCTGGGTAGTTACTTTTAAAAAGTAACTTTCCCAACCCTGCAGTTAAATTATAGCATGTTCAACTGGTTCTGGATTAATCTATTCTGGGTTATTCAGACTACGTTTATTGGTCGAACAAGTACTTATAAACTTATGATTGGCTAGTAGAGACTTATGACGTCATTAATCGCTCTCGGAGCGATTAATTCAGGGCCAGTCGAACACGCTATTAGTATAGAGTAGATAGCTTTTGTTAGAGAGAGTTCCTGAGAAATTGTATTACGCAGAAGTTTTAATTTGTACAATAGTAAGAAAAAAATATATATTGTAAAGTTTAAACATGTTTTTATTAATCTCTATATATGTATGTGACAAGTCGCTACAGGTTATATACGGTAGCGACTTGTAACGAAAAACTTCGAAACTAATTTGCAAAAATAACGGGTCTAATAATTCAATCCACTTGTTATTTTTATAAATTAATTCTGAAGTTCCGCTACAAGCCGCCACCATACTCACTGAGAAACTGAAGTAGTGATCCCTTATAGAAATATCATACTAAGAATCATTGATAATTACTTATTATCCAGTATTTTTAATACTGAAAATAAGTAATTATCAATGATTCTTAGTATGATATTTCTATAAGGGATGTACTGGAAAACAAGTGATGTATTGTGCTTGAATTGAAGTGGTTTAATAATGAAAATTCAAAATTAAACAAACTGTTACTTCTGTAAAAATTACTATAGATAAGTGGTTTAAAAAGCACTTTAAAGCTTAAAATTTTTACTTATTAGATATATTAAATTTATAATATTATAATAGTTTAGATATATTGAGTTAAATAAGAAACACGACTATCAAATTTTCAATCTCATCTTTTAGTTGAGTTTTTACACTAAAAATATACTTTTATCATAACTATGATCAATACATTTTAAAAGGAAAAGTTAAAATTTTTCATTTATTGCTTAATAAACGTTATATACCGATTCGTTTACCTATTGTCAGCCAAGTAATAACTTGTAATATCTTAAGAAATATTTTATATAAACTGAATAAAATATAGAATATATATTTTGTGCTATTTTACATAATTTCACAATCCAAAATTAATTTTTATTTACCTTTTTTACTAGTAGAATAGTAGTATATTCTTAATTATATTAATTAATTTTTATATAATAAGATTTAAACAGTTCGATTATTTATTTCGCGAGTTTCGTTTAAAATTTTCATAATTCTATTTTTCTGTGTTTAACAGCAAAAACTGTGATACTTGGTCACAGAAATGTCTTTCTTGACTTCTTTGATTATTTATTGCAGTCTGTATATATATTTATATCAACCTTGCGGAATGTTGTTTCACTAATTTTTACATAAATACGGAAATTAAATTATGTAAACGAGATGCTCATTTCCTCTTCAGCAAAACCGGTAATTACGATACTTTTGAGCGAGTGTGCCATAAAACTATAAAATGTGTCTTCAATTGAAGTATATTGGAACACTGTAAATCAGGAAGCGATGATAAAGCCAAAATAAGTCAGCCGCGTAAACGTTGCAACAGGAAGCGTTCGGGCCGCTGAAAACAAACACTGTCTGATCGATTACAAAATTTTGCTCGCTAAAGAGAGAGAACTGGCAATTTATATAAATGTAACGTTAAGGAGAAGAAAGGGAAAAGAAGAAAAGGAGAATATTATCGACGAAACAGTCATGAAGTCTTCTTTAATCCTGGGAGTCGTTTTGCTGCTGACGATAGTGCATATCGCTCAAGCACGCAAGGCAGGATGCATTACTTGCGGAGGAAGCTTAGGCTCAGGTATGTAAATAACATTTTATCGCACGTATGTATCGTCAAGATTACTATTTGACCATTTACTACAACACGTTATTAAAACAGGGTATGCTTTTTTGCTCAAAGTAATTTCAATATTTGGAAACTCTTCGTGCGAGCGAAAAAAGGAGAGAAAATTTTAATCCAATTTTGACTCGCGCGCAGAAATAACAATGCAAAAAAATCGAGATATTTCAACATTTAATTCTCAGGCACTAACCCGTGTAAGTGCGGAGACGTAGTGGTGAAAGCAGCGAAGGTGCAGAAACCGTTACACTACGCGACTCCGGAGGCAATCAACGAAGCAGCGACTGCACGCGAAGTGGCCCAATTAATGTCATCAAGAACATTTCCCGGGAACGTGGCGTCCTTTCCTCAATATAGTCAGACTAATGGATTATACGGTGTTAGCAGTGACATTAGTCACAGTAGCAGCAGCAGTAGTCACAGCAGCTCTGCAAGTTCCTCGTCTTCCGTCGATCTTTTTGGAGGATCAGTCAGAGGAGACTTCAATAGTTTCTATCCTTTTTCACAAGGACATACGCACAATTCCGGCTGTGGATGCAGGAGTAAATCTAAGGTGTCTCTAAGCGACTCCCTATTGCCTAATACTCCGGAAAATGTTGTGCCCAGGTACTTGATATTATAACCTTTTTATTGTAACTATTGATAGACGAAGATCTCGCGAAGAAGTCTCGACGATTCGCCAAGAATCTTGTGAACGTGACACGGATCAATTGAATATTCCGCGTCACTCACATCTAATATTGCTATATCTTTCATTTTCTCTTTTATCTTCTCTGAACGTTTCACGTGGTTCATCGACAGATTCCCGCCGATCGGCGACCTGTGTGACCCGACCAAACAGGTCAGTTACGAAGTGTCCACTAAAGTAACTCCGGCGTATCCTAAGTTGAATTTATACCGTACCTCCTCCACGCCTTTATGCGTGAATGTGGTCAATGGGAAAATCGACAAAACCGAATTGGAAAAACTCGCCTCGGCGACCTCATCCAGCGGCATCGGCGGACTCGGGGTGTTCGATAGATTCAACGATGGATCCATTAGCCGATATTCATCCGGTGGTGTGGGTATATCTGGTAGCCTTGGTGGATACTCTTCCAACGAAGTGAGCAACTCACTTGGATACTTGAATTTCGGATGGGGCGCTTCCGATAAGCATTACTCACAGAATTTAGGATCAGACGCGAACATTCTTGGAGAACGGTATAATACGTTTGATAACTGGTACAGACCCAGTTCAATTGGAACGGGCTTCTCGGGGCAATTGGGACAGATCGGTAGCATCGCACAATCGTACACGGGTTCTAACGTAGGTAGTACAAACGTGAACTTCGGAGCGAGCAGTTTCGGTGGACTCGAAACAGGATATGGAAGCGTTCAAGGATCGATCGAACGCAACAAATGCACCGACTTCGGTGACGACCTCGGTACGTCTCAATAAAATTCGTGCCTAATGATCTGCTTGGATAAGATCACGAAATGAAAATGATATCGTATTTCAGAGCTTCCCGAAGACTACTCGTATCCTCGACAACCAGCGGACGCGGTCTCGCTCACTCTGGCGTACAAGAATCTCTTCCCGCATACCGCAGTGTATAACAAAAAGTGGTTTGTGCCAGAAGATAAACTGGCATTCGGGCACAGAACAGTGCCGGTCGAATGGAGGCCCAACAAGAAGCCGTCGGACATACCCGAGGAGAGACTTCAGATTCTCGATAAGCCCATCGTGGAGCTAAAACCAATGGCGCCGATTTCAGTGAGTGTTGGCGTTTACGACGAGCAGGAAGAAGCCAAGTTGGCAGAACTCGAGGCCATCGAGCGCGAGAGAATAAATCAGGAAGAGAATGCCAGACAGCCGCAAGGAAGCTTCATCACGTACGGGTAAGCCTAAAGAACGTGCGCTGGACACCTGTCAGCGTGACGTTTTTTTAAACTCGACTGTTTGTATTCGTAATCTTCCCAAACATACGTCGTGCGAATCTCCTAAAATTTGACGTTATTCTTAAAATGCAGAATTCGCAAGATGTCTGCGCTTTCTTCAATTGAACACTTCTTACTTACTATCTTCTTGGGAAGCTACAGTAGATTAATCCGATAAACCGATTAGGCGATTCCTTCCGCGAATACTCATTTTCGCGTGCAATTTGTTTTTAGAGATCTTGGATACGCGCCAGTCGACGGACTTATAGTACCGGGAAAGTTAATGAGGCCCGGAGTATCATACATGGATTCCGGGGTCGGTTTGATCGACGCCGAAAATACCATCGGCGAAAGCTGCGGCCCTTTAGGACCTCCGGTTCCCGGCTACGTGCCCGGCAGCATTGTGGTCAATCGAGAAGTCATAGAAATCGAAGGCGAAAACGAAGATAACAACCGGAGAAACGAGAGAATCTACTTTCGCCATTACCTAGACGACGTGAGCGACGAGGAAGACGACGCGACATCCGGAATATTCGCAAAACTGAGAAGCACTGCGCAGAAATACGGACCGGTTACGTGTCCGCGATGATTTCTTTTTTTCTAGAAAATAACGAAGATGTCTTTCATGCACTTGAAGACTCATGATCATTTTCACTTGTCGTTTTTTGAAACACTTAGACACGGACAATCCTCAGCGTTATACTAGTCCCAGTCTTGTGTCTTTGTGTGTGCACATTATACCATAGAAAATCGATAATATAGTAATTATACGAAAAGCAAATTATCGTAACTTATTATTGAAATCCCCACTACTCTTATCCTCTTGCTAAGAAACACTCGAACTAAAACTAATAGTTTAAAAATTGATTATTATAAATTACATTTTGTTCTCTCTCTTTTCCTCCGTCGTTCTGTGAATAAAAAATCTACCAAAAAGTCTACTTGGAAAAATTACTTCAACAAATGCACAGGTCATTACAATAAATTTAGAACTTATTTGATAAATTGCGTTTTTTATTTTAAATTTTTTAAATTTACCAAAAAGTCTACTTGGAAAAATTACTTCAACAAATGCACAGGTCATTACAATAAATTTAGAACTTATTTGATAAATCGTGTTTTTTTATTTTAAATTTTTTAAATTATTGCACTTTTTTATTATCCATTCAGTCATAAAATATTGAACTTTTATCGCTGATTTTGGGTATCATTATATATGTAATATAATTACAAAAATAAATTATATTGTCCCCGTTATATAAAAATCCTCCAAAAAAATATATATATCTATATATATATATATAATAATGAGAAAGAGCACAATGTTTGCCGATGAGCCGTTAAGAGTCGAACGACTTTCTACATTGCCAACGAATACGGAGGGTAACGCCGCCAATGAGATTTATAATCTCCCTTCAACTTCCGCGGCTAAAGCACGACCGTCAACACGTCATAAAGTGTTTCGGCCGAGTAAAGGGAAGCACCACATGGTGATGCACGATGATCGCCACGAAGGAAACATAATGTATCTCCGAGAGTGAGAACGGGCCCGCCACGCGGTTGCTATTTAGAGACGCAACGAAGCTCGCGTGCTTCTCGACCAAACGTCTTCTCTTCTTCTTTTCTTTCCTCGCAGACGTGCACGTGAAATTTACGATGCATACGCACATCCGGGTTGATTTATTTCATTTACATACGCGGCATAAGTTACAGGCGGTGAAATGAACGGAACGAAGAGTCGAGCGAAACGACCGTGAGCGAATGAAATATTAATTTACGATGTAAATCTTGTGATGCGACCTCTATTAAAGCAAATTCTACAGTTTATTATATAGAGCGTATCTTAGACGTTAATTAGGATAGAAAATCTCGGTGCAAAATGTTGTGATCACGATAATCTCTAAATTATGAATTATGAGCAGTGAAAAACATGTTGATATTACTTTCTTTCTTCTACGGAACTTGCTGATTTACCAATTGAAGATGTATGTTGATTTGCGACAAATCGGCAAACGATGCTTTATGTTGAGCATCGATAAACGATTCCTCGATGAATAACGTAATTCCGTCGGCGTGATGCAGGAAGTGGCAAAACTTGCGCGGACACGCTACGAGGAAGACACGTACCTTTCAATTAAACATCTGTCGCAACGCGCAATTGGAGAATGATCAGTATTTTGTTTATTGTTAAATGTTCCTGAATTTGACTTTTACGAGTTACTTATTTTCCGCTAAACAGGAAGTACTTCATGAGCGTTTGTTTGTGGCGAGAATTCTTCTATATCAGGAGTGCGATATATCACGAGTTAGTTTGGTCTCCATTGCATCCAGTGAATCATTACGATAATGGCGACAGCACTGAGATTACAATACTTGATTATTGTTATTGGCGTCAGCTTACATCCGATATCTTCTCACGGTTTCCTTCACAAGTTTCATGAGTCACCGTACCGCGGAGTTAAAATAGTTAAACATGGCGAGCCATGTCCAACACCGTATTACTTGCCTGTCAAAATCGAGGTACTTATAAATGGTTGTGAGCAATAAACAGGGTGTCTGACACATCTATTATATATAGAACTCAACAAACTGAACGTAAAATTTCTCTATCATTTCGCACACAAATTCGCAAACGGTCAAATTTTGTTAATTAAAGAAGATTGACAAATGATTACAAGCGATACAATGGATCGCGACGTCTACCGTCGTATACTTATATGTTAGTTCAAAAATTGAACAAAAATATTCTCTACCATTTTGCAAATTACTACGTAGATTTTTAATTATTAATTAAAGAAGACTAATGCATTATTACGCACAATCATGCACATATTCAAAATAAGTTCAAATATACGAAATAATTCACAGGTGCCTGCGCGACCCGTGGAAGAGACCGAACCACCAAAACCGTATCAACCCTTGAAATTGAGCTATCAAACATTCAACCCGCTACCTCGACCGCAATACTTACATCAGGAATATCCAGTCTCTATAGAAGTTCCTGAAGTGCCGCTTCCGGAAATCTCTACATATGTTTCACTTCCTATGAAATCCTACGAATACAACATCCAGATCCCGCCGCCACCGATCGAACGAATACCGACCATTTACAATTTCGATCTTCAAGCACTTCCACCGAGCCCGTAAGTGTATAAAAGTATTTGTCACCTGTTAACTCTTAAAAGGATAAATTACGTTCGAATTATGGAGTTTACAGTCCCGAGGTTTATTTACAAATAATCTTGGAATATTTCAGGTTAATGTTAAAAATTTTTCAAGTGATAGCGCGTTTCTCTTTATATTTTAAATATAAATCTATGTATATATATGATCTTATTTCAGGACGGTAATAACGCCGATGGAACCTCTTAAATTTTTAACGGGACTCACCAGCAGAATTGATAGAATTGTAATTCCCGCTTGCGAAAAACCATACTGCAAAATTTATGAAGACTATAATTACGTTTAATAAGATCTTTTGTGTATATATAAATAATAAGATACGTAATAATCCAACACGAAGAAAATAAATAAAGAAATTTAAAAAAATAAAACTGATTTTTAGAAGTCTTTCACTCCTTCACATTTACACTTACATTTACGTTTCTTTATACTTTTATGTTCAAGCAGTGATTCGTGATTATTCACGAACGCAAATACTGAAATGAGAACTGATGCACTGAGAAAAAATAAGTGGACAATCTCCCGGGATAATGTTGATAGATCGTGCTTGGTCACGAAGAGCATCGCAGATCAGTTTGGATAATCTCACGCAGCGTCGGCTCATATCTGAATTGTCGATCTTGTTCATCCAACAATCTCCGATGTTGTCTGATGCAGTCACGATCTTCGTGCCGAATCTGCATGTGATAATGCGGGTCCTCGAGGTATATGAAGCACCTTGATGCAATTGAAATCATCGAGTTCCCATCGGGACACATCATGGAGTATACGCAGAAAATTCTTGTGGTGTTCGCCATCGCCTTTTTGGGCTCCTTATCTTTAAGTTCGGCGGCTTACATTAAGAAAGATCTCAATTTTGCGAAGAACTTTGAGAAAAACTTCAACCTAGAATTGCCACGGACTTTATTACGCGAAAAAAGACAGAGCGAGCGTTTCGATCTTTCTTTGACTGAGAATAATGCCGCGGAATTGGAAGATCTGTCTGAACTCGAGAAAGTCCATGATAGAAGAGCGGTCGCGGAAGAGATCCAGGAAGCTAGTCTGAAGTTTGAGAAGATTGAAGAGCAGGAGAAACGAAGCGCGCACAAAGAACACAATGATACTGAGGAAAATACTCAGGTAATTATTGACACATACATTTTATTCATTATCAAAAGTTGGAAATAGATCAGAACAAGAATAATTCGAATGTTTCCGCTAGCAGGATGAAGCAGTCCCGAAAAACGTGCACGACGTCATCCGTGCATTGTACAATAAGAAGGAGGACTCGACCGAGGAATTACAGCAGGAATTACAAGAGGTACTCAACTGAAATTTACACATCAAAATATAAAATTATATTATATTGTTTGCGATAGTAAGAGGAATAGGAATATTAATGTGTGACTATTAACAGTTAAGATTATATGAATCTAATTATTTCGTAAAAGTAAAATCGGGAGATACAGAATTTAAAGAAAATCAGAATTCAACAAGATATACGTTCAGTTTATTAGAAAATTATAAAATTAAACGTCGCGTACATGACTAAGGATAACGGGATACTTTGCAGAACTCCACCGATCCTGATGACTTCAACAAATTATTGAAACGTCATTTGCATCCAGGGGTAGTTGGCAATATCCTGGGAGCAAACTTCTTAGAGGAGATTCCTTTGGAACAATTGGATAGCCATTCCTGCATGGTCGAAGCCTTCGACTACGGCCACTCGCACAATTCCGGCTTGCTGACGCACGAGTTACTCTGCGAGGTGAGGAAAGTCCCCCATTATATACGGGTCGGCATGCGTAACTTGAAATCCGAGCTCACCCTGGGACCTATGATCACCGAGGAGTTTGAAGGCGATGTTCTCGGCAGCTTTCATCGACACATTCCGCAACTTTTCGAGGCCGTTATCAAGGAGCCTCACCATTTACTGATCTTACCAGAGATAATTCGAGATGTCGTGCCATTCAAAAGCATCTTCCGCGCTATGCATCGAATCAATACCGTTTTCTTCAAGGTGGTGCACTTTGTGCATAACATGATAAGGGAACATCTGTTCAAAATCGCCGAAAACTTCCTGCTCCATCACAATTTGGGCTTGCATTTTCTACGCATTTTGCACCACTTTGGAAAATTGCACTTAGTGGAGAGGGTACTTGGGTTGGCACTTCCGCACTTGGAAAACATCATCGCAAAGCCAATTCTGTCCCCGGTGACCCTCCATGATGACGAGCTATACACTCCAGAGTACCACCATTCACTTAGAGAGGTAATCGCTACCTTCCAAGGTGTTCACGACGGCTATTTCGCTTCCGGAATACACGATCTGTTCAGGTCTGGCGTGAAGACCTTCTTTTCGGAATCAACAAGGTCTACGATGACCTCATTTTTGTCGACGATACCCTTTTTAAACAACTTCGTGCCGTATTTGGACACCATAACTACAAAATTCTCCCCCGTCGACGTGAGTCCAGTGGTTAATCCGATATTTGAAAATTTCGCTCCAGTGGTGGCTCCAATAATAGATGGCCTCAGTCCAGTAATCAGTCCGTTTGGTTTAGGCTCAGTAGTAAACGCGGTAGAACCTGTTCCTATCGAAACCGAAACCGTGCGTACGTCCGTGTCCAGCGAATCTCGCGCGTCATCCATCGTCGAGGTCGCTCCAGAGGTCGCTCCAGTAATAGAAAGTCCTGTAATCAATCCGTTAGTAGGTTATTCAATAATAAATCCGGTAACATCAGTTTACCCCGTCGTAACCAAAGCAGTGGCGCCTTTCGCGTACAGCAAAGCTAGCGCGTCCATTGTCGGTGCACCCAATCTAGTAGTGAGTCCGGTAGTAGGAGGTCCAATAATAAGTTCCTTTGGTCATCTAGGCTCCGTGATAAGCCCGGAAGTTTACCCCACCGCAACTGAAGTGATGTCTTCCGCGTCCGGCATGGCTAAGACGTCGTCTATTGTCGGTAGTCCAGACTTAGCTGGCACCCTAGCATCCGAAACCGTGAGTTCCTCCACGTCCAGTTCTACGTCCAGCACTGTCGTTGAAGCGCAACCGGTGGTCGCTACCAAACCTGTAGTATCCTATGCGGCACCAACGATGCTGCCACATACAGTATCTGCAATCCCGTATGTTCCATCTTCCGTTGTTTCGGAAACCACAGCTGTATCCGAGAGTAGCTCCAAAAGTGTGTCCGTAACTGAATCTGTGGCGCCCGCTCCCGTTGTAGAAACAATTCCCGAAGTCGTCGATTGCGGACCGGCACCCGTAGTAGTTTCTGAACCCGCAGTGGAGAGCTCTGTAATGACTACCGCTTCCGCGTCCACAGTCACATCCTCTTCAGCCTCGAACGTCGCTGCGATTCAGCAGCATCCATCCGGTTTGTATCCGAACGTCGTATCCGCTGTCGCACCTGTCGCACCTATCGTTAGCGCGTCCGCCTCCAGCAACGCGATTGTCTCTACGACCGACCATCTGACTAAACCGCTTCCATTCGCTGGATACGGTCTAAACTATCCTGGACTCTCTCTGGCCCGACCAGGATATTACTCGCCCCTGTCGTTTTCACGCGCCTTAGCGTCGGCCGTGGCAGCCTCCAAAACTGTCTCGACAACTAGCAGTACGACCAGTGTCATTTCCCGACGAGACTTTAGCTTCGTTCTGCCCAGAGAAAAGATCGTCAACGTCTTAGGTAGCGACTGCATACTGCCAGGAGACACTGTAAGCGTCACTTTGAAAAACAAGGCTGTCTTGTATGGTAGCGTGCTGGACGCTAGCAGTCCGATCACATTCAGCTTCTTGAGACCAAAGCTGTATAATCCTCTTCTGCGCAGCGGCGCTCGAGTCTGGAACGTCCTGCATAGCGATTTCACGGACCCTGAATGTGTCGAAATATTCAATGATCCGGCGCTTTTAAACATCTATTAGATTTTAGATACTGTGTGCGCGCAGTATCTTGCAACTAGTCTTAGATCATTATCGACTATCAACTGTATCAACATGTATTAAATAATTGTAATCCGGTCGATTGCAAAAATAAAGATCTGTCCTCTAAATGACTATGTTAATTTTCTACCTAGATAACTTTCGTAATAAATTAAGTGAACGTGATATTTCAGCGGTTAACGTTTCAATATAACGTAGCTCATAATAATCATTTTAACACCATTTATTTTTCTGATGTGCACTTCTCGAGCCACTTGCGAGAATTGTGAGTTAAATTAAGTGAAAAAAGTTTTTTTGTGCAATTTTACAAAAGCATCAGCACATATTCGATACGAGTGTATTTACACAAATGTAACGAAATTGTATACGAGGTGTTAAAGATAACTCACTGTTCATTTTCGATAAGTAACTTTTTATTTTGCAAATGCTTATTCCCGCATAGCATAAGAATAAATATGTATGACTTAAATTCTAATAATAACCTATTTTTTAATTTTACATCATTATGAGTGAATAATACGCATGTCACGTCCTTAATATAAAAAGATAATATTACCGTAAAACTCTTTAGAAGTATTTCAAATTCTAAATTTTTCAGATAGTGCTTGTTATCATTACATTCAATTAGATTAATTAGACTATCGCGTGATTAATACGTTTTCGTAAATAGATTGGATGAAAAACTCGCTGACGAATTATCGTGACATGTCACGAGATACATATTGATTATCAGACTCTTAAAAGTATCTTCACAATTCGATCATTGCATTTATTGTTGCAATACGTGTTGTTATCGGCTAAATAATCTTTCGGCATCTCATGTGTTCCGAGGGATTATGATCAAATTAATCTCCAAATATTCATCAGAATACTATCGGGCATATATATGTGAAACACTGAATTACAAAGCATACTCTTCATACATAAAATATTTACCCTAATGTCTCTTGAATTTTATGGTATTTATGATAAAAAGAAAGTTATCACAGTAGGTAGAGATATCGAAGCCTTAGCAAACCAACGTCATCGACTAAGTCCCCGAAAAATTGACATAAATTATTGACTATGTGTGTGTACGTGTGTTTTCTGACAGACTGCCATAATTCAAAAGTCAACAATATGTGGCGTCGTATCCCTTGTCAGTAAGAGTAAAGAAGCGTTGTTATGTCACAGACATTACGATGTCTGGCACGACGTGGCAAATCGATAATTAGCCGTTTCAATTTATCATGTACCCTTATCGCGTGCAAAGACGTTATTCAGCCGAGTTGGCGCAGGTGTTCAATTTCAAATAATACGTCGGCAAGTGAGAACTGTGTTACCCCCGTGGGAGACTTGGTAAACAAATTGCGAACAATATATAAGGGTACCAGTTCGAAGTAACTTTACTCCATCACGGTTTCTCAACCTCCTGTCTTAACCAAGCCGCACTCACAATGGCACGCGCTATTTTCGTAGTAACTGTACTGGTAGCCCTGTGCTGTACCAGCCAGGTAAGTCAAAATAACGATAATAATAATATAAGAGAGCAATTATTGCGCGATTCAAGAGAAACGAGTACTAAGAAACAGTGAAATTAAATTTATATTCGAACAAAAGTTATCACGCTTAGCGATTGTTGTGTAAGACACGTCGTTGAAAGAAAACTAAATGTATAAAACTAAATGAATAAATTGTCATCGCGAGTTTGTACGCGAAAGTGATAATAACGGACATTTATCGGCAATTAGGAAGCAGATCCTGTTCGTAATGCATTTTAGTTTCACGTCCGATATCTCTTTTCACACACGTAATGCAATATATATAATTCCGATATGTTAATTCTTGATAATCCTCTTTGAGTGTCTTACGTTACTATCCCGCTTGTGTCTCTGCAATACACAGTTTATGACATTATAAACAATATGATACGTATTTTCAATACATAGTACTTTAACCTATACCATTACTTCACATACCTTAATGATATATCTTATTGAAATATAAACAATCGCTTTTATTTGTCCGAAATTGTTTTTAGGCTTTCCCGCCAGAAAAATCAGAAAAATGGGACAACGTAATAAAGGAGCTTGAAGAGAGGATAAAAGATATGCCGTCCAAGTCCACATTTGCTAACCAACCTTACTTCTTAGGAAAGCTAATAGGAAACGTTTTAATCGAGGTTGGGGAGATGACGAAAGAAGTCATAGAAGGTGTACAAGATATATTAGGTCATGTAACTGACGCCACGCAAGATATGCTGGAAATTCCTAAAAAAGGCATTGAAAAGATGATCCCAAATAACGATACCAAGGAAAAGAAAACGAATCCCACGGAGGAAGCCCAAGTTGCCGGTATACTAAATGATATGCAAGACGAAATGAATAATAAACTGAAAGATTTTAAAGATTCTCTTAAAGATTCTCTTCGAAATATTGAAAAGCGCGGTAAAGACAAAATGGAAAAAATTAAAGAACATATTAAAGATGATATTGAAAAACTAATAAACTAGGTTTAGAAGACATGAAGGAGTTGACAAACAAGATATTTGACGACTTGTCTATGTTAAAGGATACTACGAGAAAATCAGACATTTATTTGGATGATTAATTTTAACTTCGAGATATAACTTAGGTTCATTTAAAGTTGATGTGTTCAGAGACGCCACACGCTTTTAAGCATTGTCAAACATTTCTCAGCGAATTTTAAAGTTCCTTTTAAACAATTCACACAATCTCTAAAAGAGTTTAGTGATGTCAAACCCAGTGAATAAATTTTGTAACGCATCTGTCCTTTAATTCGCGAGTCTATTGATTAAATATCGCATGTGGTGTCTTTATTTCAATTAGCGACATCTTATTTCATCAAATTACGATCACTATTAATGTGATAATGTGATGTAACAGTTATCAAAATTACTGTTTGCTAAAAAACAAAAAACACATCCGCGTTAACACCACGATGGAATCGACTTCGGCCTCAGTGTATCACGAAGAGTTCAATAAATATGTTAAAGCATTTTAATAGAGACGTTTTAATTAACCTATTCCACATCTTGTATTTTGTAAGCGAAAGAACTAGTTTTAGAAATTAGTTTAAGTAGTTTGAAAAATGCGTAAGGGAAGAAGACAGGAAGAAAGCATTTGTCGTAGCAATATTCCGTGGCCAAGTGAAAATCGTATATTACAGATCAAAGTTTACGATAACCGATGACGGTCAAATAGATACTGAAAGGTTAACTGAAAGGTTAGATATTGAAAGGTTACACGAACATTGCAGTCCGAGTATGCAAGTGTTGCATATGATACGTAGACGGTGAATGAATTGAAGTTCAATTTCTTCACGATATATATGAGTGTACTTGTACGTGCAAAGATAATATCCTTCTCTCACTTTAAAGTTAGAATCGATACGCAAAAATATGTACACTCCTATTCTTCTGTCTATTTCAACTATAAGTTATTATATAGTCTATAACATAGACTAATTCTAAATGTTCAAAGTCATTTTTTATAGCAACTATTTAAAGTTGAATTTTGATATTAGTTTAAGTAAAGAGTTTTGAAATTATTTTGTGAAATTCTTCATATTTTACATGATAAATGTGTAATTTTCACGAAAAAATGTAATAATTGAATTTAATTTTCATAATTGGAACAGTTATATGTAAGATATCGAGTAAACAACGTTCGAAAGAATATATAATCTCTGCTCCTGCGCTTTCAAAAAGTATGCGCATCAACATGGTGTCAGCAGTTTTTATGCGTATGCATATATATTCTCGTCTAGAACATATCTTTATCTGGCTGATGTAATGTAAGTCTCGCGGAGCGAAGAGCGGATGTCAGTTAAAATTGATAATAATTTTGATCTCTCCTTGAACTTTAATCCCCACGTCAGTCATGCGAAATTAGCTATCGATTCGTCTCGAATCGTGTTAACAAACGTTTCACATTTGCTTTACGAAGGAGACATTGTACACCGTTGTAAAATTCCTAAATCGAATTGCAGAACTCTTGTCGATTCGCGATAATTCGAAAATAATTTTTACGAAAGAATCCCTTTTTAAAACCACAATACAAACGTTGTAAGAGATCACGGCGTCGGGAAGTTTAATATTGATCTAAGTTGAGAGATTTTCTACCAAGGTTTCTTTAGCTCATAAATTAAGTAAATCTTGCCGCAAAAAAACAACAATTCACCGATAAGATGTCTCTTATCGCATTAACCCGTGAGAATAAGACTGAACTGTAAGAACTCACATAAAAACGACGCAATCTCAAGAAATCGAATACGAACCTATGGTAACAGAGCCTTTGTATATTTGCTAATACAAATAAAGAAACAGATCATTAAGTTATGCCGGTGTATGACATAATTCTATATTGGAAATCCTGATCGTAAACATTAATTTATTGGTTTACGTTCATGCGTAGATTATGAGTTTTACGCATGAATGCGAAACGCGATACCAAAGAGAATTTTGTTTGCCGTACAAACATGACAATTATTTTGCACGATTAATCATCGACTTGAGAAACACTCAAAATCTAGCTTAATCTAATAACACTGATATATTACTAAATTAGTAAATTACCAACATCAAGGTGATATAAATCCCCTTGGAAAAACATTCATTAATAGCATTTTTTAATTAAACGGGTTTATTAAACGCATGGAATGTTAATCTGAACAATAGTCTTCTAATTTTTACCATTAAAATTAATTTCAGCGTTCTTAGTTTCAAATAATTTTATTAAATACAATAGCTGAATGGAGCAGTTAAGAATACTATAAGACACAATAAGTCTCCCTCCTTTTTTTATCCCCTATCCTTTTTGTCTATTTTCTTTCACTTTTTCACCGTTGCAATTGATATCGTAGAAACAAACTCATACAAAATTCAGTTCAATCGCCAAAGAACATCAGTCCTCTCCGTTATCTCGATTTCCGGGAATTCCGAGCATTTCGAGGCGACTACATGTCCAGATAGAGAGCTGGAGATAAAGAGGGATGCGAGGCCCTGAGGTCGTTGTCGTCAAAATGAGATAATACGCACTTTGACCTTCTTGATAAGAAACTCCTATAAAAGGGACTATGTGCTTCATTCTGTGCATCAGTCTTTTTCGAGTTGACTGAGGATTCTGTTATTTTCACGGGAGGAAACACTAGTAAAATGAGGTGCATACTCGCAGTTGCATTTGCTATCGTCCTGGTCGTAGCCGAGGGCAAGGTTTTGCCAGCCAGCGACGTTGAGAATCAACAGACTGCCAATCAAACCCCACAATTATCTGATTATATCCGGGACGCTCAAACTGCGATAAGCAGCTTAGGCACTCAAATTCAGGAGAAGCTCAATTTACCCAACCAGGATGAATTTTTCAATACCGTTAAAGACCAAACCAACACCTTCGCCACCAACGTACAGCAATATCTCCATAACATGACCGAGGAGGTGAGTGAAAATATATTTGTCAGAGTATATCCTGTACGCTTTGTCTTAAATATGTTTGCATTATATAGTTTCGTCGCAACGTTGAACCTGAAGTATTTGATTAATTAAAGCGATTAAAATTTCTTTCTTCAACGTCGATTCAAATAGTTTTACTCGATAACAATAACTCGTGGCTATTTTTCCATTACATATTTACTGTTTTGCTATTTCTTCCTTACACATTCACCGTTTTGCAAATTAAAGATTGGCTTATTTGTGTTTGCAGTTACGGCGCGAGAATCCTAGTACCTAGAGATTATATTATAGATATAATATATTATATTATATTATATTATAGATATATTATATTATAGATATTATATATACTAAACATTCGAAAGAAATATTACATCGCCTAATAGTTTGCATCGAGAACGCTCTTTAAATTACGCATCGCAAATTCGCAAGAAAAATTGATCAGCTTGTCAATACTCTGAATCGATCCAATGACACAGATGAATATGTTGCAAAATATAATTTATAAATTGCGAACGTACAAGCAAATTGACAATGCCAGAATCTGCAAATCATCTCTTTCTTAGATTTACATCGATATAAATTATATTCGTCATATTTGTTACATACGTTATATCAGCTAAATTATTTGCACGCTCTGTTAAAATAAAAAGTGTCCAAAATCGTATGTAGCTCCTAATTAACAGAAACGTGCATGAAATTCACTGTATGCGATTACGCATGTTCAAAGTAGTTATTTAAGCGATCATAGGTCAACGAATCGAGCAGTTCAGACGACACAGATAATGAAAGTAACACGAATACTAGTTCGATTTCCTTCTCTGTATTGCGTGTATCCTCCGTAATAATTCCTGCTGTAAATCGAACGGGTTATTAGATGAAATGTAACACGACACGAGCCTTTTTGATTTCATTTTAACTTTCGCCTCGCCTATCAACAATGCCATGAGTGCGTATTTCGCTGCGGAACATTGAAACCACGATTGAACAGATTAAAAAAGAAACACCCTTCACACACAAGATTTGGAACATGTCTACTTCATACGCACGATGGATCATTATTTGCAGATAAAGAGCAAGAGCCCCGAAATGGAAAATATGTTTACAAATTTCAAGACTAAGGTGAACGAATTGGTCGATAAAATGGCTGTCAATCCGGAGACCACGGAACAGGTAAACCAGTTGCGTGCGAGATTTCAGGAGGGTGTCCAGTCTCTGTTGACGGAATCCGAGAACGCTGCTAAAAGTATCAGCGACAATTCCGAAAAAATACAACATGATGTCACCCAATTTACCAAGAATGCAATTGACCTTGCCGTGCAAGCTTCTCAAAACTTGAATAATCAGTTGCAGCAGGCCGCAGCGCAAACACATAGTTAAAATGTGAAAATACTTTGTAAATTATTCAGATGTAAAATACCTCAAAAAAACAAGTATACACAAAAAAATATAAGATTTAATCGGTGATCTCACATCGTATCAGGCTGATTAGCTGAGAAAGTAATTTTTAATAAAAGTATTTGACTATTTATGCCTGTTCTTGTTCTCCCTTCCTCTTTCATCCTTATCGTCCTTATCGTGATGCAAGATGTTTAAATATGTTGCATCTTTTATCTCTCATAAGTTTTCACGACTTTTAAGTTTAAATTGGAGATACTTTAACTCTTCGCTTTCTCGATTACGTTATATTACATAACTGATACAGTATAATTAACCTTTATAATCCGGGAAGCCAATAGAGTGGCGCAACGGGATCTCATATTTTTATCAATCTATTCTTTGTATGAAAAGATTTTAGTTTAAAGACTAAAAATCGCTCAAAAAACAGTTCGGACAGTAAAAGTTAATATTAATCATTTAAGATTTATTTTTTAGCGCGATAGTTGTTTAATCAGATGATTAATATGCGGTGAGTAAATTACTGAAATTTTGTATCATTTAATATGAAAAAAAATTTGTATTTATAAATACTGCGAAAATACATGATTGGCGCTTTATCTTAACGAACTTCTTTAGCAGGAAAGTGAGAATACACCGGGATCAAGTATGATTTCTCGGACAATTACCAACGCATCGTGATATTGACCAGGTTTTGCACAAACAAACGTTGTATTTGCAAAGGTTCAGAAGTCCTCACGTACGATTTTATTGATGCCGTGAAATGAAACTTCCGTATTCAAAATGATGTGATGAGAGCGTCAATGTCCGTCGACACTTTTAATAAACTAGAATTTAAAGGGGAAAGAAAAAGAGAAAGAGTGAGAGAGATAAAGAGAAAAATTAATTAATAACAACGATGAAGGATAAAAAACTTCGTATCTTACTTTTACATTGTAATGAACATGAAACTCACGTTACTTTACTTGCATCATCAAGTTTAGTAATAGGTGAGGCGAGTAATTATACCTAATCAGCAAATTCCGCTTCGATTTCGTATTATTAACGTGGGTCAATGAAAAATCCACTTACAACGAAGAGAAACTCGTCAATCCGATATGACCTAAATTATAAAGTCACGTATATCGAGGCCGATACGTCAATTTTTAAGCTAATGCAAAGTTCTGAAAAATTTAGCTAACACAGAATCTATTATTAATTGCATCATTATTTTCGCAATGAAATTAATATTATTAAAGTAAAACGAACATGTTAATGAAAAAGAGAAGAAAGTATTTTAGAGAGAGCTGAGTAACGTTATATATGTGTATACATTCGTCTCTTATAAAAGGACTGAAATTTATCGGATCGCTTCATTGTCGATTAAAGACTTGGTGTTGAATCGATAATCAATCAGTGCGTCAAATTTATTTACATCAATTGTCGATTCTTTAAAATATAATTTAGTATATACACTTAGTATATTTAGTATATACAATTACGTTACATGTGATTGGTATTTAAAATTTACAATTGTTTTTTATAAAGGAACTCTTTAAGAGGCAAATAAATACACATCTTGTTAAAATGAATATATTCTTCTTAGTTCTGGTTGTATGTATGGTAAGAAAAAATAATATAAATATAGAATATAGAAGAAAGAAATATTCTCTCTCTCTCTCTCTCTCTCTCTACGAAATTTATCTCAGACGATATATATATATATATATTTTTTTTTTGCAATAAAAACATCTATTTATAAGAAAAAAATGTGGATTACGCGGTAAAATTGCAAATAGAATATTTTATCTGAAGTTATAAATCATCCAGTAGTCTACAAAAAAAGAAAGTTGTTTAAATATTAATTCGTTTAATAATATTGTATGTTGTGTGATAATAATTTTCCTAAGCAGGTGTTGTTTGCAAACGCTATTGAAATTTCAAAAGAGGATAAAGCTGAGATGTCATCGAAAAAGGAATCGCCATCACAATGGCAATTAAATGGAGAAACATCCAACATCGAGCGATCCGTAAAAATAAACCGCGGATTCGAGAAGATAGTCCAGTTTGTCAACGTTCTGGGTCAAATGGACAACTTCTTTTACGACAAGACAAAGAATTTGATTCGTAAGCTCAACGTGATATATGACATGGATGAAAACGAGAGATACCGTAGGACTTGTTTCAATTCATAACAGAAATATAAACTCTTACCAATTAAAATATAATCATAAATTTGTAATTCAATACAATATCAGATCGACTAATACTAGTTGTTTTTTAATATTTATAAACTTTTCTCCGTTTATTTATAATTTTTTTAAGTTCACCACACATTACGCTCTATGTTAAATATTACTTTCAAGTATTGCCATTTAGTATTATACTATCGACGAGTAAATTGTTATAAGAAAAACTATGTAGCATATTTATGAAAACAATTATTAAAATTACTTTATATGGATGAATGGATGGATGAGTGGATAAGTAAATATATAACTAAATGTAAACCAAGTCCCCTTCTTGGCTATTTGTAGCTCTGAACGGTAATAAAATACTACTATTAAAATTACTTTAAATATAAAATTTAAATTTATAAATAAGCTTTGTAATAAAAATAATTTTCAAGTTAAGAACATTTTTTTTCTTACTTTGTTCAATACATTTATTGTAATTATTATTATTATTCGACATTGTTAATTTATATGTACATGTTAATTTGTATATCAATAATAATATCTGTAATTACACAATAAATAATAATAATATATATCATTTACGTGCATATACAATACATATTGATAAATGTCCATGTCAAAAAACATGACATATCGTCAATCAAACAAAATGTCAGCGAAAGACAACATCGATAAAAACATAGTTAATGAAATGTTTGTCAACAATTTCAATGTATTATCGACGTTATATTGGCAGCATTTCTTGACAAGAAAATATGTAGAAAGTATTTGCAAAAAGTGTCAAATTATTATTTATAATAATAGATCGAACCATGTAACATGTTTTGTTTGTGATTTCAATTTATCTGACTGAGGCAGTCAATCCAAGACGGTGAAAGACACGTAGACTATGAAAATAAACAAAATAGAAAATAGAAAAGAAGTAAAAGAAGAAAAAACGGAGTGGGAATAAAAAAGGAATAAGAAATGAAAGGAGAACAAAGAAAAAAAGAAAAACTGGACGAATCAAATCAACAGGACTTAAAGTAAATATTTGAGTAGTAAACAAATTTTTCTTACGTTATAAATGCTAAGGTTGGGATAAGAAAGCATCTACAAGAAAATTGATTTTTAACATATTGATTTTATTTTTTGATGTTTTTTTTTTAAATCTCTTCGATATAAAATTTTTCTAACGATGCCTCACACACACAACTACCTCTCTCAGACAAAGGTCGTTTTTGCTCTCTCTTCCGCTTGTTTATATACACGACTAGGTCTAAGGCCGTAGTTGTTTAACTCTCTTTTCTGAACGACATCGAGCACCTGCATTTTTTGCGTTATTAATTAAGAGGTACATAATTAACGAACGATTCATCAAGAAATCAAATATATCACGTCATGTGTTTTAAGCGAGCATGTGTCAAATGGTACATTAATATATTTTCACATTAGATTCGACAGTAATTTACCGGCAAAGAAATCATGTGTAATTTATATATAGTTACATTAACAAAAATTAGTGTTTAAACAAAATATTGTAACGCAATATATAGAAATTTTTATAATTTAAATTCAAATAATATAACAAAGCTATAACACCTATGTAATATATTCTGTCTAAAAGTTTTTTTTTCAATACAAGGCGTTAAAAAAAGAGGAGACCAAACTGGATGACGAATATCGATGGCGGATTATTGTATGTAACATTTATACACAGAGTAGGATTTCCCACATTTGAAGACTCTGGATATCGAAAAGAATTTAAAAAACTTGAGTAGATCCTGATCGGTATTATTGTATATCGTCTAAAGAGGAATAAATAAGAGGATGGCCTGTTGTCTGATAAGTTTGTTAATGTTATCGCCTTCCTCTTTGTTATAACACAATGACAGAATGTATTTTCTTCCATTGAATCTTGTCTCAGTGTAAATAGTGATTAACGAAATATTCAGTGATCAAAGGCAAAGTCTTAAAGCACCAAAAAAGCTTACTATAGATACAAATCGTTCTTTCTTGTTGACATCTTCAGATATCAACTTTCTTATGATCCCATCTCTATACGGTTCTACTATTACGGCTATAATATGGTTCTACTATTCAGTTGAGATTTAATCTCATATACGACATTGACTTTTATTCAGTTATGACCAAATAAGGAAAATTCAAAATATCGATTGAATCCCAATATTCCTGTTTGTTTTTATGGACATTTTATTAATGTCTCAAATATTCTAAAAGTAAATAACTCTACATAATTAGGCATTTACTAAATTTTCATGTGTAATATGTTTGTAAACTTACAGCAGCACCATGCAGCTCTAAATCATAACCCAATGCATAAAACTTGGAGCAGTTGAAAACTCTAGCTCCTCGTCGGTTAAATCGATCCATTTGAAAGATATATCTTATTGAATAATCTAAATCAACGTTTCTTGCAGATATGGTGACAATGTCTTGAGGTTTACAAATTGATTTCGACTATACTATCGACTATATTATCTATCACATATCTTGTTCCAATTGTCTACATAATGTCATTTTTAGTACTACATCAAAGCACAACTCGAAAATGATTAGAAAATGTTAATTTTCTAAATCGCAAGATATGTATGAACATATACATATATATGCATTTATTAATACACATATATACATACATGAATGTATATAAATGTACCTATATGCATTTGATAGATAGGGTACGTTCAATTTACGTTAAATTTTTGACTGATTGAAAAGTAATTCAGAAATTCGAAAAAAGATTCGTGTCTATTGTCTGTTAAAAAATTCTTATTTAAAAATATTTCAGAGTTTGATCGTTTCACCTTTGATCGTTGAGAGTATCTTAATCACTATTCTATTTTAAACTATTGCACTGGAGGAAAATACATTTCTCATATTTGTTTCACTATCGTTGAAAAGAAGTATACTTGTTTTATAAGACTGACTCCTAACTATTTTAAATCATGGCTTCTCTATAGTATTCTGCTGTAATAATTAATAGTGCGATCACATTTGCAATCATATTGATACACCGGTTACCCTGAGTTAGGTATTTAGAGCAATGTAAGGATATAGTGAAACTGATAATAATGATGGCAGACTCATATTTCAGATGCAGTCTCTTGCATTTTAAATTGTATACTTGGTGCGTTGTATCGCGTCATTGACACTATAAATTTCCGAAGTTTGGCTCCAGATTTTTTCAACACTCTGTAGAATATTTACTCGTTGCCACCATGTAATTTTAAACACAATCGTTTCCCTAACGATATAATTCTCGTTTCACTTGGCATTTATTGTTGGAACATTATTGAAATACACACAGTGAGAACATAGATTGTGTATCAAGTCAACTGACGCAAGATATAATTGGCAATCATTCATCTTTTTTTTCCTTTTTGAAAATAATCAGTCGTTCACGTATTTCGATATGCGAATTTTGTACCTCTTAGATGTTTACTGCTCGCGATAATATTTGCATCAACATTTCTAACAGTAGCGTGATTTATCGGGATGCAGATGTCGTATCGCATGCTCGCATATTCGACGTAATCTTTCACATTCGGGGATCCTGCGCGTACCAACATCTCGTAACAAACCTCATTTTATCAACAAACCGCAGAATCGCGTACTCCGCTAGTGTTACCCTGCAGCCGCACTCCAACTCCATTAATTATCGCTCGTTTCGTTCGGATCATATCAGAAGTTGCGACTTTCAAAAAGTCTTTTCTTCTCTTTTTCTTTTTTTCTTTTTTTTTTCTCTTTTTTTGCGTACTCTTCTCGTTCTCGTTTCTGCGTACTCTTCTTTGCAAATGGAATTATCGCGTGTGAAAGCGCGCGAGCAGAAAAATATGCCATATACTTCCATATATATATATACTCTATCTTTACGTAATTTCGATAATTATTTCGCGTATAAAAAGAAAGAGAAAAAAGAAAAGAAAAATTTGCTTCATTCGCGTGATCGCTCAGAAATGTTAGCATAATATTTGGAATTTTCTGAAGGTACATATGTCGTCGAAGTAGTGCGAACTACGTTTGTTGAGGTAATATTGAAACTTTTTGAATTTAAAATCTACGTATTAAATGAGCGTATATTCTCTTGTGTATTCTCCAATATATTAGGCACTACGTAATAAAAATACATGATATAAAAGAAACATTAGAATTTCTTTTTGCATCTGGCATATTAATCCGATAAAAATTAACTTGTGGAAGTTTTACGGGGAATGGCGTGATGTTAAATGATCGTTTTGCAATCTTAAAATTTGATTGAAATAATCAATGGTCAAAAATTTTTTTTGAATGACTCAGTAATACAAGCATAGGTCATTTTTGTTAATCGACCTACATGTAAAAGAGAAGTTACTTTCATGATTACAATACTTTTTAGTAGCTTAAAATCATTTTAAAATATCATGTGAGATATTATTCCCACTGCGCAAATAGTAAACGTTACATATTAGATACGTAACATATATGTTTAATGTGCTACTCAGAAACGTTTCTTCTACATAATAGCTCAGAAATGTAGCAAACATATTTCCGCTACATTTCTGAGCTATTATGTAGAAGAAATGTTTCTGAGTAGGACATTAAACATATATGTTACGTATCTAATATGTAACGTTTACTATTTGCACAATGGATTGTTTTGTACCGATTAATCAGCTCGATATACAGGGTGTTTCTTAACTTCCGCCCACAAAGCATAGCGTTATTCTTTATGAAAAATTGAATCGAAAAGTCCTAAACCATTTTTGTCTTTGATGTTTAACGAAGCAGATATGTTTTAATAAATTCCAGCAAATCCGTGTAGTCATTTAAAAGTATACACGCTGTGAGCCGCGCGTCTGGTAGTGTGCGTGAATGCAGTGGCGGAACATTCATGCACACTACCAGGCGCGCGGCTCACAGACGTGTATACTTTTAAATGACTACACGGATTTGCTGGAATTTATTAAAAAATATCTGCTTCGTTAAACATCAAAGACAAAAATGGTTTAGGACTTTTCGATTCAATTTTTCATAAGAAATAACTCTATGTACTTCGTGGGTAGAAGTTAAGAAACATCCTATATTGTTCCTTTATCTCTCGTAACACAAAGTATATAAGATAATTTTAGATTGTTCACTGATATAGAACGTTGTTAATTGATTGTAATTTGAATTGCGCCGTTGACTAGCAATAATACAATCTCGAGAGCTCAAGGAGTCATTCCTAGGGATGGATCGGAGTCAAGCTGAAGCATCCTTCTCGGACAAGTATGTTTTCATCATCATGAAAGTAACTCAATTTCGAAAGTTTTATTCTATCAGCAGAATACTAGCGATCTTCTTTCTCATCGATTAATTCATGTTGCAGCTACTGATTATGCGGCAGAATGACTGGTATAGTTTGCTGCGCACCCGGAGGCGGCTGTGGCGGCAGGTATTGCATGTGCTGTGGCGGGATCGGAATATGGGGCGGAATTATGGGACACATGATTGGATAACTCGGAGCGTGGCCCTGAGGAGGTGGTTGTGGATACGTGGGCTGTGGAGTACCGGGTGGATTATAAGCGCCCGGTGTGTGTGGTTGATTGGGATTGGCTGGAGATGGTGTTTGGCTGGGTGGTTGTTGCGCTACGTGAGGGTGCGGATGAGTGTGTGGACCCATGTACTGAATACCGGGGGCTTGCGGTCCCTGCGAATCATGATGATGATGATACGGCGTGGCCATATGTGGTGGTGGTGGCGGTGCCTGTACCATGCGCACCATTTGTTGGTACGCCGGTTGTCCCGGATAAGGCACCTGGAATGGAGGGTGCAACGGTGCTGGCGCCAATAACGGCTGTCCCGTTGCCGCGGCCACCTGCATCTGCGATGTTATATCTGGTCCACGGTGTTGCATCATTTGCACTGTAAGAGACACGATATCATATGTTTATGCGTATACATTACATGAGTAGCATACGCGTAACCAAACATGTGTAACTAAAGATGTAAACGCATGACAATACTTATAATAGCAATGATTCGTCTCTTCACAATACATCCTTCTTAACACTCTAACTGTAAAGCTCAAAACACGTTCGAACACACATTCAGGTTAAAAAAATTCGCGCAATTTAACATTCTATCTTGACATTCGAACTGTTTGGCCAAACGAAAGTCGGTGCATTGTTATGGAATATTGACCTTTCCGGAACCTCGTCACTTGTTGAGTAGGTGGCTGATTGAAAGCCGTCGGTGGTTGATTAGTCATCACGTACGCGGGCATAACAACAGTCGCAGGTATAGTTGCTCCTGTATATTGTGGAGTCTGAGGTGTATGCGGTCGACTAGGTGTCGGTGTGCTAGGTGATCTCTGTGAATCATAAACATGCAATTACATTAATATTCGTTTTAATTCAAGCTCAATTATTTAGTGAACTAAAGATACTTCATACTCACCGGTGTAAACGTCTTCGCGTTTGGATTAAATTCTTTAGCGTTCGGATTTAAAGTCGATTTCTTGAAAGCATTAGTTATCTTGTCGACTGCGGGTTCCGGTGGAGATTGCTGCACTGTCTGGGTGTTCGTTTGTGGTGGTGGTGGTGGTGGTTGTTGTTGTTGTTGCTGTTGCTGAGGCGGGCTCGTAGATCTTACTGTTAATGGACCTGGTGGCGGCTTACTGGTAACGATTGGCTCCTCTTGTACAGTTTGATGTTGTTGATGAGAACTACTATGCTGTTGCGTTGGTTGCTGCTGCTGTGATTGTTGCTGCGGACTCGTGTGCTGATGAGGAGTTTGATGATGAGTCTGATTCATCGGACTAGCGGAATGCACGTCCTGTTGATGTTGATGTGACTGTTTTCTGGAAATTTGTGGAGTATCCGGCGGCCCTTGCGATTCTGCTAATTTGAACTCCGTAGCAAACTGTCTTAGTTCCGAATGTTGCTCGTCTCTACCACGTGGTGTCGGGACCTTGCGTATGAACGAAAGCATTTGCAAATATAAGCAATTTGTCTTACAACTCCAAAAGTAAGATCGTTTTCAACGAGAATGCGCGTCGTACCTTTCTATGATCTGATTTATGTGTAACCATTTCACATCGCTGCCCTTCCACGGAATTCTGTTGCGGCAACGACGTGTGCTGTTGATGCGAAGACTGTTGTTGTTGATGTGAAGACGCAACATTGGACTGAGGGAACGGAGCTGGCGGTGCTTTATCAGCTTGATAGACTTGTTGTCTTCCAGGACGCTCACGTTTCTCCGCATTGATCTTATTCGAAGGGGTTTGTTGTTGTTGCGGTGGAAAGCCTACTTGTGACATAGAAGGCGGCTGCGCTTGATTCTGTTGAATTCCTTTATCAAGAGAGCATGTAATTTTTATTAAATTTTCTCTCTAATGTTACGGAACCTAAAGTTTTGTTAGAAGTATCAATGTTAAAAAGTAAACAAGAATGTTTACCAGTCTGTTGCGATTGCGTAGTCGGTGGAGGCACAAATGGCGGCGGCGGATTATTATATGTAACAACTACTCCACTAGGCGGCATACCCATATTCAAAGATACCGGATGTTGCACCGACGCATGAGTGGATTGTATTCCAACCGGTATATTCGACTGTGGAGTATTTATATTAACCGCAGATGAAGACGATTGGTTGTAGACATTTTTATCATTCGCAGTTCCTGGCGAAGACGGGGATTCGTTGGACCTCATCAATTTGCCAGTGTTGCCACTCTTCTTCTTTAGCGGCGGTGGAACATACTTTCCTTCGGTAGGTCTTACCTAAAATTGTATATCGATTCATGAGATTAAGTCAAAGGTGATAATGTGTCCAAGGAATAAAAAAAAAAAATAAAAAAATTCAAAGCTTACCACAGCCGCAAATCTTTCCTCTTCATCACCGTTCTCCAATTCTAATCTGGCCCTATGATTGGGTTGAGACTCAATTTCATTTGCTATTTCAGCTGCCTTTTGTTCTTGTTCTTTATAATCTTTCGTATCTTTACGCTGGAGCTGAAGTGTATAACCTACTAAAGAAGGTTCAAACGTCGTTTGAACTCCATAATCCTGCTCATTTTTGCGAAACATTTCGTTAACGTCCCAGCCATTCTAAAATCATAATTTTATATTACATATAATTTACTAAATTCTCGTTTATAATAAATTTGCAAACTCACAGCAGCACCATCGAGCTCTAAATCAGCTCCATTCATGGTGCTTGGAGCATCCCAAGGCTCCAGTTCTTTCTCACCAGTTAAGCCATTATATTTACTAATGGCTGTATCTGTTTGAAATGTATCTCTTATCGCGTAATCCAAATCAACATTTTTTGCTGACATGGTAACAATGTCATTCGGTTTAAAAATTAGTTTCTCAACTACACTATCTACACATATTTTGCCCGAATTGTCAACACGATGGGCCATTTCCAGTACCACATCAAACTGGCTGGAAAATGTTCTAAAGATTCCTTCATACACTGAGCCATTTTGTGTTTGGATCTACAATCATAATATAAAAACAAGTAAAATTATTAATTTAAAAACAAAATATATTTTGATAATTAATAAAGTATCTGTATATACCTGTACTGTATTGCCGACATGGCTAGTGATTGCATGCATAAAATGAGCATTATTGTACACCCCCTCTGCCGCAACACATCTTTCTTGTGGGCCGCGAGCCCGTGGAGATCTGAAAAGATGCATCGATCAAGAAAAATATTATTTTCATCATCATATTAAGTATTTGCTATGTATATATAATAATTAGAAAATAAGTCATCTGACAGGATTTATCGCAACATTATCATTATTTAATGCCATAAAATACAAATCTGATGATTAAATAACATGGTTCTAGCATGATTCTAAAAATATGACAATTTTAATAGCAGCAATTAATAGGAATATATAATAAATATATGATAGAAATATTCACTAAATTTTCTATGATTCATGAATTTATATGTATCTTAAGCCTTAGATAATAAATTTATTTGAAACATATATTGTGCTATAATTTCTTTTTTACTACTATTATACTTTGCACATAACCGATTTCTACAGATTAGCATATTACAAAAGGAAAGATGTAAGTTTGAGAAATTCACAAAGTGACTCTTATTTTTGCCTAATTCTACGGAAGGAAGGCCATGAAATTGACGAAACCTGTTGTTGTTGGAACGATTCTTTCTCTTGCTGTTCATTCTGGCCGCCGACGACGGTTCCTCGCCAGTGAACTGTGTGTTCCTGCCGCCGGTTTGTTGGGGGCCTTCTCGTTTCCTAGTCGGGACCGGAATTTTGACTACTTTCCCGGTGACCGTTTGACGTCAAAAAAATTTGCCCTTATGCCCGTAACACGGGAGCGACGTGTGCAGCTGTGCCGCTGCGCGCGTATCCGTTTACGTGTGACGCTCTTACGCGATGACCGCGTGAACGTTGACAACGCGTCGTGATCTCGCGCGGTTTCGCAGGAGCGTGCGACAACGGAAGGAGGAAGAGAAGGCCGTCGGATCTGCAGGAACTACCAACATTCACGACGGTTTTTAGGTTATATACTCGAACGAATCCGAATATGAATTGGCGCACGGTGCGTGAATGCCGATTGCAACGTGTCAAGCGATCGTACACGGTCTGCACGAAGCGTAAATCCGTCGCTCGGCAGCTCGAGGACCTTTAACAAGGCGGGCGAGACGCTGTCGCGCGATCGCGGCCAGGAATATGCAACTCGTCGCTCGAGACAGATGCAGACGCGCGTACGTAATACGTAAACGGCGCGACGGGGGAAGGAACGATCTGACCCGACCACTCACCACGGTGGTGTCTCGACAAGTGATGTCGGACATAGCATGGCGTGAAAGAGAAATATAGACCACTTCATAAATGCTTTTGTAAATGAAAACCTACCATAAAGGCTGATTTTTTCAACTTCTTGCTAATAGCAAATTCGGTTGCTTGCACTAGTGTGCACTGAGTGCGCACTAAGGCTTGTTCATAGTATGTTATTATATTTAAAGATTGTCTTAAATAATTCTCAAATAAATTCTCAAATATTTTTAACCATAATATGATATGTATAACATCCGTACGAATCATTTTATTAGTTAAAATGTTTTTAAATATGTATTTAAGACACGATCTTAAATATAAGAATGTACTGTAAACAAGCCTTAATGCGCACTCAGTGCGCACTAGTGCAAGCTACCGAATTCGCTATAAGTTAACCAACAGTTAAATCACACGTATGCTTTGTTTAATTTGAAGAAAAAACGAAGACAAATATATAATTTTACTGTTATTTAGCGTATTAGCACCGATTTACAATAGGTGATTTAAGCCCTAAGCTTTAAGAAATTGACCAATCACAATCAAATTTGAGGAAAATAACCCTTAGGTTAGGGGTTCCACAACCTTATGGCTCCTGCACACAGAACGCAGTAATGCTTGCCGCGCGACGGAAGTCCACGCAACAGCCAATCAATATGTTATTTTTCCGTAAGAGTAGAAAGTTATTACGGAAAGCACTATATTACGGAAAGCAGCATATTGATTGGCTGTTGCGCGAACTTCCGCCGCGCGGCAAGCATTACCGCGTCCTGTGTGCAAGAGCCATAACGCTCGCGGCGTTGCGAGCGTTAAGTGGACCAAACTAACCAACCAAACGCTGTAAACGCTGGTTATAAAATGAAAAAACGCCTCTTGCTTTAATCTTTAAGCCGTTATAAATTGACCAACCACATTTCTCGTTAATCAGAATTGATAGATGCGATTAGTTGGGTATATATATATATATATATATATATATATGTGTGTGTGTGTGGGGTGTATATCAGTTGGACACGGGGCAATTGGACACAGTCCAATCACAAGTCGCTGTTCCAAGGGACCCTACAAATGTCTCTAATCACACGGTGCTGTGATTGGCTGTGTCCAAATGCACCGTGTCCAAGTGCACCGCTCCCCTCCGTGATATAGGCTGCCATATTTGGTGTCACTTCCGACTTTCATTCCTCTCACCCTTGTGGCTTCACTCCACGCAAAATATGCTCCGCCCAGATATTCCTACGTCCATAGTGAGCGCGAATAATCTTTTGGAGCTAGCGCGTGCGCAACATGTGACGCGTGATATCCAATGAACATACAGCTCTTCCGAAGAAGCAGCATGCTCATTGGATATCATGAGTCACATGATGCATCGCACTAGCTGCGAAAGACACAGGAAAATATTGTTCTCTTTTAATCTCCACCTCTCCTATTGGTGTGTTCTGATCGTTATGACCACTTTTGAATGTTTTGAAACACTGAAGTGTAGAGTACAGTATCAATTATTATTTGAAAGAGGAAAAATTGAATGTGGCGCAAAAGGAACAGACATATGTGAATAGAAAAGAATCGTACCACAAGATGAGTGTTACCGGTAAAATGCTTTGCAATAAGCTGTGCGGTTTACGCCCGGACTTGTCTTCAAAAATCACACCAGAAATCCTAAGCAAGATTTGCGATGATTCTAGTACGCAACCTTTTTTGGAATGGTTCTACAAGAACGTGAACTCTACCAATGTTCTGTCCAGTGAAGAGATAAAATTGTGAGAATTTTGTTACATAGTTGCAGTTGCACTTCTGAGTGAGATTCTTATAACCTCTTTCTATCTCCAGGAAAAATATATTGCAGGACACAAATGAGTGGTTGGAAGACGAAGCATTGGATATTGCATTAGAAGAAGCCACCAGAGATTGTCCAGACTTGTTGCATCTTGTTGATTTGGATAACACTTGCAAGGAAGATTTATTTGAAGAATATAAGACATTAAAGGACTATTACAAAGAAGACAAAGAATACCTTAATTTATTGCAGCAGAGTATAATAAATTTGAAGTAAGAACTTTTGCAATTGTATACTCATAATATGCATATTCTTGCAAAATGATTTATAAACATGGCCATGTTGTAGAAAAGTTGAGAACAAGCTAGAAGATGATATTGAAGAAGCAGAAGCCATATTGAATAAGGAACAAATTAAAACACAAAAGTTGTACGAAGACTGTAATGTAGTCCTGGAAGAATTTGATAGAGATAACTGTCAATTCTCTAAAGATGTCGAAACTTTACTAAATATATATGTTGATACTGCTAGAAATGTAATTATTTCAAGCTTTAGTATGATAATTCCAATAATATTTACCTATCTCATTTTGTTTTCTAGCAAGGTGATGCAGTATTGTGGTCACAGATGCCCATAGACTCATTTATTAAACAAATAGAACTTTATAATCATTATCTAGGTATTCATATAAAAAAGCAATTTGGAAGTATTAACAACAAAGAAGATCAGGATGAAGATTCAAACTACGCATCTCTAATAAACAATAGTAAGGAAAAGCAGGTTGATGAAAGAATGCACGAATTGAACTCGTGTAGGATAAAGTAAGTATTACTTGAGAATGTATTTAAAAAAATATATACATAAAAATATATTTATACATCACAATTTCTTCTTTGTATACAGTTTGACATATTCTAAAACAGAAGAGATCAATGCAGATATTCAAGTAGAATCCTGTATTGCAATCTTGCAATGTGTCAAAGATATTTACAACGGTGGAGTCTTGAAGGTACCTGAAAATAATAAAATACAGTAAGTATTTAAGTATTTGTAAGTATACAAATTATGCAGTATATATTAGATACATCTTATTTCAATTTTGAGATTAAAATAACAGCGTTATTTTATAGTTTTTTTTAGTTTTTAGAGCCTTTTATATTGAAATATAATATTGTATCATTTATTAACAGTGATGAAATGCTGACATTAAGTATGAAAAGAGATATTTTGGAACAAAACGTGGAACTTTTGCGGGACCAGCTGTTTTCAGCGATAACGCAGTTCGCGGAAATGGAGACGATGAAGATTCTCAAGAATGACGCGCTTGGTCGTTTTGAACGTAGGCAGACTCGTCTCGAGAAACTCAAGAATTTATATCGCTTAGCAGGAGAACACGGTCATGTTCATGTGGATTTGCTTTACATGTTAATAAATGTGCAACATCGCAATCTTCATGAAGTTGCTGAATTCATCGCCGATGCTCGTCATTACATCACTACAGAATATAAACTTTCTTCTGCGAGATGTGTTAGTAACTAATCTATTTCTTTCACGTTCTTAATTTATGTGAGTCGGAGAAAGAGAACGTCAGGAGCGGTTTCTTTTTTAATGGTTTATTGTCAGTACATTTATTTCGATCACAAATTTCGATCACTTATAAATTTATATTTCGAATTTCTAGTTTGATTCCCATAATGAAAATAATTTGTACTAGAAAAATTATTGTGTGAATGTTACACGTCAATGTGTATATGTTATGTATGTATAGGAAGTTATGCAACAACAACAAGACGAGTACGCAATCATTTTAATGGAATCTCCGAAAACTTGTAATGCATTCAATCAAATATTTGTTAGCATGGTGGCTGGTAATTGTTCGGACCAGTCGCTTTCTTCTGCGTTGAAAAAATACGACGACTTAATAGCTGACAATGCAGAGAAGAAATTAATGCTGGAAATATTTCTGAACGATAAGATTGGGAAATTGCAGAAATTGTAAGTGTTATTTTTGTTGGTGATATATCTTATTAACTATGACATGTTACTATTGTTTTTTTATGATTTAGGACAAACGAAGTTAATAAGCATTACATGGCTGAGGTACAAAACCAACCAACAAACAGCCTCAAACCAATTTCATACGGAATTAGTAGTAGCTATGAGGAAATATCTACTGATGTTCTAGAGTTGCAAGAGGATGTTATTAGGATCAGAAATCAATTCAAAGAACGAATGGTATAAATGTTTAGTATATACTAGAAAATCAATTATATAACGTTTACTAATAATTCTCATATTATATACAGAGGACTGACGCCAAACTTGAACGCGAAAAAGATATCTTGTGGCAGAGATTCTTGGCAGATACAGATACACTAAGAATGAAATATGAAGAAGCGAAGCAACGAGCAAACAATTCTCACTTTGGAGGTACCTCAGAAAGTAAGTCTAGTTCTTAAAGTTTGTAAATTATTAGATTATTTTGGATTTAAAAAAACAATGTAATTTGTTTCAATAGTGTATAACATGTTTATTTTACAATTAAAAAGAATATAACCTTTAGGAATCGGATATATTAAAATTTTTCATGAAAAACACATTACTCTTTATTGAGAAAAAACTTGGTTTATTTGACTTGTATTTTTACACAAAAAATTATCCCCTTTCCCACCTTGTATAATTTTATTATAAATGTTATCACTCTATCAAGTGTTTGCGATATATAAGCTATATATAATATTGCATACGTAAATAGTAATGAGAAAAATTAATTCCAACGATAAAGTATACTCTTTCACTTATACTTTAAAGCCCTTGCACAATGCCAGGTTACAGGCAATAGAAATAGGCATTAGCCAATAGGTACAGGGAATTGAAATAATTGACCAATCCGAATTCCTATTGCCTGTTGCCTGGCATTCTGCAAAGGCCTTTACTAAACGACTACATTTATTATTATATGATATGATGCATTTCTGTGTCAAGTTGCATCCATGGACATAGTATACATGGACTCTGAATGCCCTATGTTCTGTCGTCTAATAGAATGAAGCTAACATCTAGAAAGAGCTAGAATGGAGGGGCTATTTTTCTGCCTATTTTGTCACTTTTTTTGTTGCGTGTACATCCATTTCTCATTTCCATAATATTATAGAGCACAACAGCACCTTAACTAGACTGGCAAGTAAAAGTCTTACTTAAATTTTATTGCACATTTTGTCTGTGCAGAAAGAGACAGAACAGAGAGGGGTTGTACATATTGGGTGTTTTCCAATTGCTTAACACATCTTTACACACACGTACACAAAATGTACACACACGTACAAAATTTATTGATCACATATTATCTAAAATATCTTGTAAGATAATATGCAATCAATAAACTGGTTTTGTGTAACAGTGCACGCAACTGGAAAGCACCCATTGGCTTCACTTTTCTGGCCGTATGCGAGGTCCATGTATATTACGTCCATAGTTGCATCTTTCGATCCTTGAAACTTTTTTTTGTATTTCTAGGTTGAAAATACTCGCTGCAATGTTTTCGCAGACGTAATCCGGTGGCACATTACGTCGTCGCGATAATGAATGATTTGTCTCAAGGACGTGTTTGTATGCACGCGACGAGGAAGGGATAAAGCAGAGAAGGTGCCGGAGTAACCTTGATCCACGCGTATCGATGTCCTCTCTCTCTTTCTTTTTTTTCTTTTACGGTTCCTCTTTTTACAGATCCATCTTTTTCGGAAAAATTTTTAAATAAAGGTTAATACACTACTTTTTTACATATTTGATTCGTACGTTACAATTATAAGCTATAAAAACAAAGACATTTTGACTATATTCGCATAAGATGTTTTTATTGCTGATAGCGATATTCTATCTCTCTGTTGCTCAGTGCATGCTGAAGAAAGATAGAATGAGATTTTCAGTATGAAAGCGTGCAAAACGAACGCAATTTATGACTGCATCCCGAGATATTCACTGGCAATACTGAAAATGTATAGTTCATGTCACGTATACTATAGATTTTCAGTACTAACAGTGAATATTGGCACATAGCTTATATATCATAATAGTCGAGTTTTTTTAATTCATCGATGGATCCATCGCATGATGCGCAACTGCAACGTTTCGCTGTATTTACACATCATGCGATGGATCCATCGATGAATTAAAAAACTCGCCTACTATCTGTACTAACGCCACCATGGCGGAAAGTTAGTGAAGCATTACATCAAATATCTCTCGTGGCAGCTGGTAGATAGCGCCACTAAAGTTTCATGTTTACAAAAATTATTCGCAAAAGTTTTCAAGTACATTATGTGCAAAATTGCGCCTCGAGACCATACGCCACCGTATGTATCGTCGCGATTTTATGCGTAAACATAAGATAAAAGAGTCCGTCGTCTTTTGATCGATGTGCGACTATGTGCTCGCTTTCTCGTTGAGCGCAACATCGAAGAAGAAGGGGAGGGAAAGGCGGGAAGGAGAAAGGAAGGAAGGGCTTTTAGAAGGAGAAGGCAGGTAAGCGAGGGAAAAGAACACGGAACGGGGAAGTGGCGTGGCGAGGAGTATTATCGATTCGCCGGGGCTCGTGAGTTAACGGTTTGTTTACACGAACACGGAGACGGGTTGGGAGCAGCGGAGGGCAGGCGGGTAGGGATGCGCGCGATGCGCGCATGCGCCGCGCGACCAAAACAATAATAACAGAGTAGAAGCAGAAGGTTCATGGCTGGCGGACGAACGGACGAACGCTCGTTCCTCCCGTCTCGGCACAAGCTCTCGTCGAAGCCCGTCGATTGAAAGTCCGCGCGCGCGGAGTCACGAAGAAGAGTTGACCCGTCGCCATCGTCATTGTCGTAGTCTAGCGGTAAACAAGAGAGAACGTGTACGGTCAGACGGACATTTCGCGCCGCGTATGTACGTTCCAAAGCGGCGCGATCCGACACGGGCCGGTGCCTCAGGAAGAGTAGGAAGTAATTCGCGTGGGATTGTCTCGAGACGGAGTGACGTGACTACCTCGTAATCGTGCGGTAAGACCAGTACTTTATTGATATTCGATTCGAATCCGCAAGTGTTATCTCGAGTGCTGTGTGCCGTTCGGCATCTTTCGAGAAACTTATCGAAACGAGAACCACGTCGCGGCAGGTTCCGCGAAATTAAACAGAATTGTGATCTACCTCGAAGAGAATCGCCAAGAGAGAGAGAGAGAGAGAGAGAGTGTATGTGTGTGTGTGTGCGTGAGAGGGAGAAAGAAAGATATGGACAGTAAACTGATATTTAATTCGAAATCTACGTAGTGTCTTGTCTCTTCATAACCGAGTCATTGTTCGCTTCGATTTTCTTTCTCGACTCGGCGTTACCTCATCGTCAGAGCAAGGTGTGTGTAACGAGTGTGCATACGTTGTGTAACTCTCGTGACCATCGGCTAGTCTGGAGAGAGAGAGAGAGAGAGAGAAAAAGGCAGGGTGCGAGAGAAATTCGGACGCCGTGCGTTCGTTCGATCGCATTTCGGAAGCAAAACAATGCGCTGCTGGTGTAGCGCGTAGTCGGTGTGTAGCGTGCGCGCGTGTGTGTGTGCGTGCGTGAATGCACGTATACGTGTACCTGCTTGCAGCTGCCGCACGGGTGCGCTCGTGTGTGTTTGTTTATGCGCGCGGCTAGCAGTCGCACGCTCGTACTCGCGCGGCATTCATTCAACAGTCAGCCGCGATTCTACGCGCGACCCTCTGTAGTGTGGTCGTTGCCGTCATCGTCGTCCCGATCGTTTCGAAAGGAGCGAGCGGGGCCGAAAGCGCACGAAGCGACAAAGACGCGGCGAGGGTAATCGTCGCGCGTATTTGGCCAGTGAATCACGCTCAACCCGTTTGATTACGGCACGGACGCGCCTCGCCGGATACAACGTGCATATATATACAAACACACACACATATATATATATACACACGCGCGCATGCTGTTGTATTGTTGTGACGTGTCTTCGTGCGGCACGACGTGCGGGTCGCGAGAACGAGAGATCGGCTAGCTCTATAATTATCGCTCGCGCCGATCAGAGAACGACCGCGGTATCCTTCCGCCGTGGGAAAAAGGAGGATATCCAAGTTTCCTCGTTCGCGGGAGAACGTTGCTTTTGTTTTCCGCGATTTTCATTGATGGACTTCGTTCGCTCGGAGGAAAACACAAGTTGCAGCTATTCTCTCCGTCTATATCAGTATTGTGTCGCTGGAGTACCGTCTTATCGAAGATAAACACCGGCACGACGGAAACAGCAACGGCGGCAGTACAGAAAAAAGGAAGTTTTCCAGAGGAAAACAGACGACAACATTCCGAAAAGAGATCACACAATAACACGTCGAGACTCTTTGTTTCCTCCAGTTTTCTACTTGGCTCGTTTCTGCCGCTGAGCGTTTTGCTCAAAAACACCCGTTTTCTGCGTTTTCACGTTGTCAACGCGCTCCTCGAGAAGATGCCGAGTGCGGAAGAAACGACCTATCATCTGATCAGTGTGCCGATGCCGGACGGGGCGCAGGCGGACGCATTTCTGGCGCGCGACGTCGATCTGCTGGTCTCGCAGATCAAGGAGAATCTGCGGCTGTCCAGCTTGAAGGCCAAGTCCAGCATCAGCCACAAAAACAGCCGGCCGTCGCCGTACCGTGTGCCAGCGCGTTCCTGGGCAGACCCAACCGCTGGCTGCGAGGTCTGCGGCCTGCGTCCTAATCAACAGCAGCACCATCATCATCATCACCACATGGCCGGTCATCATCACCATCACCACCACCACTATCATCATCATCAGCAAAAGAGGAACGAGAGAAACAGGGTGAACGACGATCCATACGAGGTTCTGCAGGAGTTGCTGCGCGAAGGCGGTCTCATTAAGGAGGCCGTGAAAAGGCTACAGGCGAATCTCGACGAGTTGTCGAGCTCGGAGGTGGAGGAGGACGAGGAGGTGGTGGTCGACGATGAGGACGACGAGCGAAGATCCAGCGGCTGTTACCGCAGAAAACCGTACTTCTACGACTCCGAGGATGAGCCGTTACCACCGATGTACGAGCCAATGGAACTGTGAGGCGTGCGACTGCGGCCTGCCTGAAGCAGAAGAATGTAACACGGACCTGTCCGTTCTTTAGTTTCCTTCACGAGCGACCGCGGTGTCACTCCCTCTCGGGGATAACCCTTCGTTCCCGACGGCGATGATCTCTGTTCCTTTCCGAGGAGGTGAAGATGGATTACATAGTTCTCGACGTAAACGCGCGCGCCGGGGTTCTTTCGAAAAAAAAAAAAAGAAGAGAGTGTTTAGTTGGCGAAGAAAAAGAAAAGGTTTGTCTCACTCGTGAGAGGACTTGCTTAGCTGTGCGAGAACGTTCCGCGGGAAAAACGCGTGACGCTCACGCGCAAACAGCGCTCGTAGACGCGCAATTAGGCGAGAACTCGCCTTACATAGGCGTGTTTGTAAATACGACGCGTTGTCGGCGCTGCGTGCCACAGCTCGCTCGCTTCGTAATGCCTCGGCCGAGATAGCTGTATCGACGCTCGCGGGCCTACGTGGAAGACTTATGGCCGCAGCGGCCCGCAAATCGCTCCGTCACCGTTTCAAACGCGCTCGCCGGACGTTCCTTTCTCGCAGAGCGCACCGCGTTGCGCACCATACCGCGCTGTGAGATGCTCATCGGTATCCGAAATTACTGGAGAGTATCGCGGCGAGGTAATCGTTACGTCAGCTTGACGCGATTCCACACAGGGTAATTCGAAAGAAAAAATAGAAAAAAGTCGGACACTCTTACATCGCTTATTTCGTTGATATTTTGCGCGCCTAACATTATCAATAGATATCTCGTAGGTCAGCTCTTGTGCGTCATGACAGATCGCGGCACGTACACAATTGGCTTCAAAGAGCGAAATAAATCACCTGTGTCCGCGACAAGCCACGCCGACCGAGCCGACTTTTGCTCCATTTTCTGCTACATACACTGCTGCGTACACTGAAACACATCTCGGGCTCTTTTGCTGAATCACCCTGTACGGTTGCGTTCGATATGCACACATTCGACGTTCCGTACCGCGTATCGCCGATATCTGTAGATATTTGAATTTATTAAAAGATACCGCGAACGATAATCGTAATGTCGGCTCGCGATGGGTTCCTTCCTACAGAAGTTGCGAAGAATCGAAGAGATATCGCGTCGTATCAATTTGTGAGCGTTGTTGCTCCACTCTTGATATGTTTCGATAATTGTTAAGATATCGGCGAAATGTCGTTATCACTGTACTGAATATCCATCAACCGTACAACCGATTCGAAGCTCTCGCACGCTGTGTCGATTGCCGAGTAAATTGTCGCCGCGTGGAGCGCGTAGCTTCGGAGACGCGCTACCACCCGCAAAGAAATTCCGAATCGCGTGGAAGGCACGTCGCAGCTTCCTAAGGGAAAACGAAGGAATCCGAGAGACGAGTCGCATGCAATGGAAAAGAGGATCTCCGCGAGTTTGTCCGATTACACACGGGATCTTTCGAAATTCGCAAAGAATGTCTCGGATCTTGAAATACAGCGCGCGAGCTTTTAGCATGTCTCCGCGGATGATCGCGCGAAAATAACAATTCTTTGCCGCGGTTCGGCAAAAATGATGTCGGCGAATATCGAATACGCGCGAGTACGGGGCCGGGATACATGTATCGGCGAGGATGTCCTACAGACTGTCATGCAGGACCGTCGAATCCCTCCTCGGGGATTACACGATCTAATTTGAGCGAGAAGCGACGGATAAACCGCGCCCGTGATCAATCAACGATTATCGATGCCTTTTGCATTGTGCGGAAGTATTAAGAGCACACAAACGTTGCGAGAGAAAAGAAAGGACATGCATACAGTCACACACACGCGCACGCGCACACACACACACACACACACACACACAGTGATCTCATTTATTTTTTCACGATGCGCGCAGCGAGCGGACCAGCCGATCGATGCGAGGCGAGATCATTGATAGCTTAGCTTAGGTTCGGTTTAGTTCCCGACAGCTACGCTCTTAACCCTAAACGGTATAAAGACACTGTCATCCCTTGAAAGCGGCGAGATAACAATAAAATGAATCGTAATGTACCGAGAGGAGACTGAACCTCGACGTCTGCAAGAATGTATTCTGAAAAATGAGATACATTGTACGCACAAGCGGATGCCTTGAAGCCCACTTGAAAATATGACTTTCCTTATCGATGGAACCTTATACCGCGAGGGTATAACAATCGTAATCCGTAAACGAGAGGAACTCGCGTCAGATAAACATGAGCTTCGACGTAAAGCATCTCGCACGGCAGGCCTATAAATAATAATAGGCTTTGAGGTAAAGGAGAGACACCGCGAGATGGGATGTCGATTATATCGTTTAGGGTTAATTCGGCGCGCTGGAGTATTAATGGAGGAGTGGAAAATGTCAAAGATGTAGATAACGTTCACGTTGCAGAAAAAGGGATGAAAAAAGCGAAAAGTTAAATGGAAAGGACACCACATGACGCGAAGCGTTAACGTGGACTTGCATAATAACATATAGCTTTATATATCTTCCTCTCTCTTTTTCCTTCTCTCTCTCTCTCTCTCTCTCTCTCTCTCTCTCTCTCTCTGTGCATGTTTTAGTGCATAGTTACTTATCGCTATCGATCGCTAGGAGATACACTGAGTTGATGTTATATACACCGCTACCCACACGTGTAAGAACATTGTACGCGTGCGTTGTGCAAGTTCGCGACGAGATGGATTCTCCGCCGCACACGGAGACGGGAGGAAAAATCCATCTGTAACGGAAGGTCCCTGTGTGGCAGCTGTGACGTCATGAGCTAACTCAATTATTGAAAGAGGCTGTTACTCCTGGTGCATGACCGTCGTCGCTATCACGTTACTGCTCGATAATAGCGTCGCGACACACGGGTATATCGTTAATAACAATGGGTCCCGCGTTATTTCTAAACCTTGCAATCAATTGACGCAAATAAGCCTTCGATTATTCCGGTCGGCTCGTGACGTCATTGACTGGCACAGCGTCCGGGATTTTCTATTTGAGGGAGAGACAGTGTTGGTAAATGCGGTCGCCACACTTGCGGTGACGCAATGATACGACACTCGTAGCGATACGTAGCGAAGGAAACGATCGTGCGTAACGATCCGCGCCGTGCGGGTTCTCGTCGCTTTCGTCGACGTAGCCGCCTTATCCGACTAATTAGATAAGTTAGCAATTAGTACACATCGCGTACCTACCTACTGCGAGCGCGGCGAACGAATTGCGTCAGGATTCATCACAGTTCCGACGGAGAATGCTTGTGTGTACTCGTGTTTACTTATGTACGTGGAGAGAGCGTACGTGGAAATTACGTTAGAGTCTCTTTCATTCTTTTTTCTTTCCCTTGTGATGATGAGTGAGTAGTCCCCCGTTCTTTTCTAAGTTTTGCCGTTAAGAAGGGTGCATTACGGAAACTATATCTCGTTGTGATCGTTGGGCTCGCATGTCCGACACAAGTCTTACTAATTAATTATGAGAATAATGATAAGGAGGAAAAATAATGAAAAATAAACAAGTTCAAAGTTTCGAAGGCAGATACAAAGCGTGTTGAATTGGTTGCGCACTGTTGCGCATAAACTTTCCACCGACTATCCGCTCCTCTGCCTGTCTCTCTTGCTTCCTTTCTCTCTCTTTCCTCACTGTCATTAAACGCAGACATCAAACGATTCTGCTTGGTGTCTGATGACAAAGTGTGCCACAAATACGTCGTGAATACGCATACGCTCGTATTGTACAGGATGTCTTGCCGTTATCGTTCTTGCCAGCGCTTGTAAGCTTAGCGGTGATTCGAAGTTTAATTACGGAATCTCTCAACGTGATATTTCGGTAAATCGAGTAACACGATGCGGAATCAGTGACACTTTTATTTTACAGAATCGACAAGTAACAGATAGTCCTTTAGGTGCGCGACTAGTTTCACGGAAATTCAATTTCAGTCGAGGCTTAGAATATTACGGCGAAGAGCATCTGCCGTGAGGAGTTTTCTTCGGAACAATATTGACTTCTGTTGCGTCAAACAGTCCGTCATTACCGGGAATGACGGCATAGTAACGGGACACCCTATATAGACGGCGGTTCACTGGCCTTCGGATCGTTGGCGCGTATTGAAGCTGTTCTCCGTGCCAGCTTCTAGAAATTTGTTTTCGGCTTTACGTTTATTGATATATCTTACTTTGATAACTATGGAAACCTGCGATACGGACACACCGTCTGTGAAACCACATTATATTCTAGCTTTTTACGGTGGTTTAGATATCCTAGGGAAGTCGACGCTCAATATCTCCATATCTTGGTCAAGCGTCCTGCCGAAGCCTCGATATCGCGCAGCGAGATTCGCAGACTCGATCTGCGGCGTTGAATCGGGATCAGAAATGACACAAGGAGAGGTGGGAGTAATATTATAAAACAGAAACGGGAATAATGTAGAGAAAAAAATTGTGTATTGAATAACGGTGGAGGATGACGCCGCGTGAAGAATCAAATCATTTCGTAACAATAATAATAATGATAATAATAGTGATTCTCACAAAAGTATTAACCGTAACGACACGACGACAAAGCAAACAATCCTTGAGACAGCAAACAGAACGAAAACGACCCGATTTTGCGGGTCACTTTGTTCTACGTCTCTGACCTGAAACGACGACTCGGGACAGAAAAGGAAGAATTCGACCGTCGATTTTACGCAGGTCACCCAACGCTGTCGCTTTCAAAATTTAACAATCGCTCGAAATGCATCTCAGCCACTGTTATCGTGTAACAAAAACTATTTAGAATTTAGTAGTAGAGTCTACTTAAGACCCTTCAGTGAATACACTGGAGAGCAAACCATACATTGCGCACTTTTGTACCTTCGATCATTTTTTGTGCGAATATAATATCGCATATAGATGCACTGTAATATATTCTACAGTTCGTTATTTTTTTAAATATTTTTTTCTCACACTATAGATTAATGTGATTTTTTTTTTTAACGAAACAAACCGAGTATTTCGGGATTGATGAAGAGATTAACGAGCGAACTTGGCCTGCAGGAAAGTCAAATGTCATCGTGAAACAGCTCCGAAAGCGGGAGATTGTTAGAGACGCTTGTTTGCGAGTCACCACCGGTTCTCTCTTCGTCGAGGAAGACTTTGACCGAGTGACTGGCGACATTGTAATGTTTACAGAGACGCTCCCCAAAAAATCGAATGAATCGCTAAATAACGCTGCGATAACGTGCGTTTGTCGACGATGTGCGTGATTAAATTATCGAGCCCCGTCTAATGGGACGATCCGTTTTCGTTGGAGAGCACGGGGGCGCGTCTGTCGATACGCTCGCGGAAGCGCAGGTTACACCGAGTACTTTTCACTTCTTACGCAATTAGACTTTCCCGAGTGATTCTATGTACTAGCAGAGCCGTGACGTTCGATTATTATCGCGTAACAGAAGTGATCAATGAGTATATATTATACGTGTGCGCGGCACGAAAATAAGCGGAAAACTTGGCGCGGTTTGACCCAATTCAAGAACATCCATTTATGCGTTCGTCTAACCATTTGGCATCGCGAACCGCGATTTGTCGTACAGATCTATCCGTATTTTATATCAATAGTAATGTTTACGAGTATAACAAAATGCGTAAATCTATTAATAATGCGCGGGTGTCCGAGGAAATTGAAAGACTGCGTCTTATATTTTTGTGTAAATTGATAGCTAATCTTTTTTTTAAAGACGATATTTGATTTCTCTCTCTCTCTCTCTCTCTCTCTCGCCTTATCGGATCAGATTCGTGAGATTTTGCGCGATTTTCTCTCGGTTACAGATTCCTCGATAAATTTTCATTCAGTCTTGGAGAGATTATACGCGACATCCTGTCTCTCTACCGTAAATATAGAATATATCTGAATTGTGTCACAGACTGTATCAACATATGCAGCCTAATTGGTTCGTATGATAAAATGTGGACGCCCTCGAGAGGCTTCGATAACGAGTTAAATTGGCAGGAAGAATTGATTTGTCGTTATATATTGTTTCCAGACATCCGATAAAAGTAACGGCAGGTGATACGGCTTAAAACGCAGTCAACAATAAAAACACGCTTATCGTTTTTTTCCACTCTGGAGTGCTGACTGAATATATCTCAGATTTATTAATTTATACATATGATCGCTTGTGCCTCGGCGACGATATTTTTTATTTGGTCTCGTGTTGAAAAATAGCATCTTATATAATACGCATAGCGTTTACGCGACCTTCAAGCAAGGTCTTCGGGCCTGTCGTCCGTAAACTGAGAATAGGATTCTACATCGGCTGAAGTTCGAAAGAAAACCTTGCGCTATTATTGTACGCGAGACGGCATCGCGTTTCACATAGTGGCGTTCGCTTAGCAATATTTATTCCCGAGGAAAATAACAAAATTCAAGCTCGAAATTACCGAATCGAGCCACTTTTTCTTTTCTTCTGATTTACTTTTATGATTCCGTCAAAGAGTCAAATGCAAGTGAAAACCTCCAGAAAGACTCAAGTGTATATTAGTAGCTTATGAATCACGCTAGACAAATCCCAACCTACGTTTGGTGATCGTTCGAGAAATTCCATCGCTCGATCCTCGAGTTATATCACTCCAACAATACGCGAGATAACACGATCTGCTCTTATCGCTATAGCACAATAACATTAAATAACGAGTAATATCACTAGCCGATACGCATCGAGAGGTGCATGTAGTATCGACGCGTGATTCTCTTATCGTGGTGTCCTCTGTAAATATTTTTTTTCTTGTCGAAAACGGTGAACACGATAGATCTCACCTCTTTCTCATTCGGCACAGTTAGCGGCACGGCCATAAGTAAACAATTCGGACGTCTAATAACGGATACTGGCCTTGTCCGTGTGTTGACACAGATTTCGGCGCGAGATAGCGCAAACGCGATACGACCTAGTTGTACGTTGGAAAGGACCAACATACGACGCGCGATTAAATATGCGTTCATTGTTAAAGTAGTCGTCACAATTGCGCTTCTGATGGTTGTGTGTGTGTAAACGCAGAACGCGGGAATTAATCGAATGAGCTTGTATGAGAATATTTTTCGAGTCCTGGCTGCGGTGTTCAATTTTAAAAACTGCAAAGTGTATACTTTGTTTCGTATACATTCCTTTTCTTATATGTATGTATACACTTTTTATATTCGTTGTCTCTATATTCTTTTGTATAGACGGGAGTTAGGTCAAAATATTCCCTAAGAAATACAGCGATGACTGCTGAGCATCGAGAGAATTCTCGTGACATTTTCGAGAGAAGACAAAAAAATTCGACTGGTTCGCGTTTAATTATAAGCGACTCAAGTTGCACGTCTGAATTTGCATTCATTACATTTTCTGCGTTATTCAGCGCAATTTACTTTCGAGATTGGTGCAGAAATGCTTCTTGCGTTCTTTAACAGCGAGATATATCTCAGATATCATGAAGTAAAAGTATCAATGTCTGGATGCTAATAACAGAGTTGCGGCACGCAACTCTGGATATTATTATTATTTTGGTTTTTAAACATAAATGTTTAAATTTTTTAATGTAGAATATATGTTTATATTCAATATATGTATATATATTTTCTCCGTATTTAAGGTTTAAATATTTGCGTTTGAAGAAATGATAGGAATGTCCAGAGTTAAATAGCAGTGCTATTATTGTTCAAGTGTTATCGGTTAGTACTTTTCATACCGTACTGAAATGAAATAGTCTAAACATTCCAGCGTCAGAGTGACGAGGAAAAAATTCATTCTCTTAAAATACATCTATTATCTGTCGCGTTCAATATAACGAGTGAGAAGTAATTTCCCGGAAATACTACGAGCTCTCTGAAATTCGGTAAACAACAATGACTGCGGCTTTGCGGCCAAAACATTGCGTCAGATCGCATCATTGGCCACGTGGCTGCAGCTGACATCGGGCGCGAGGCTTCGGCCACGCTCGGCTACCATCGGCCACGGTCGGTTGCGCGCCAGTCGACCACGTGACCGCGGGTCGAGCTGCAAGCTGACAGCGCATCGTAGTCCGACCTGATAACGTAGTTGATAGGAGTTGCGATTCGCGCCCGTATAAATTGTCGACAGCCAGGTACACCGTGATCATCTGGACCATTCCTGTTCGTAAATCCTGCGGATCATCGGCGGAGCTACGGCGGAGCTACGGCGGAGGGGCGAACACACACCGACGCAAGGACGCTACGACGCTACGACGAACAACATGGCGGAGCCTGGCAGCGCTAACCCGTAAGCTCATCGCATTAATCGCGTTGTTTTTGTCGCCGTTGTGTCGTTGCCCTTCGCGAAAGTAGATCCGCGCGCGAGTGCCTCCACCGAGGTGTAAAACCACCAAGACTGGTGTGATCTCAGCGAGCTTGTTTTCCCACGCTGCGCTCGCTCGCGATCGTCTCCGTGATGTTCGCGCGTCACTGGTGGAATCACGACGCGATTATTGCGTGACGTCCGCTTGTTCGTGTTCACAGCGTGGAAAGTCGAGGCAATTGAGATTACGTCGGCCTCTAATCGCGAGGAGAGTGCATACTGAGAAGTCGGCCGGTGAATTCGCGAACGAGTCGCGAATGTGTCGTGGTTCGCGGCGATTTCACGACGAACGATACACGAAACATCAATGCGCACGTACAATATTTGTGTGAGATTGCGAAAACTCACTCTAACTCGCTCGCGGCACTGCGAATCGTGCTTCCTCGTTCGTCGGCGGGTCGATCGAAGCTCGCTTTCCCCCGACCGTATTTTGAGGTTATGCGTGACGGGACGACGCCCGTTCCGTTAGAATCGTGTTGACCCTTGGACTGCATGATAACAGCACTCGTATGAAATGTAATAATGGGCTGGGCCGAGCGTAATAAAAGCCTCGCTTTTCTAACTCTGACGTCGCGTGTAGTAGACCAAAATAATTGAAGGTTTCTTTACGTTGATTGATTCACCATTGATGGTAGTAGCAGTAGGAAGAGGAGAAGAAGGGGGGAGAAATAATGGTTGTAACGATTAAAGAACTGCCTTCAATTATGTCGACTTAATACATTTTCCATCTTCCATAGAAAAATTTTGCTCGAAATGGATTGTACCTTCCGCGCCGACGTTTAGAGATTGATCGTTCGGATAATTTAGAAACGGAAATCTTGCCAGCAAAATATCGTCGAGCTAATGATACTTTTCAAACAGGAAGCAATTAGGACGCGAACGACATGTAATGATCAAAGTTCCCACGTTCGGTATACAGTTTAACGTGCAATGGTAAAAGCGCGCGCGCGCGCGTATGTTGCCCCTTCTCCCATCAATGAGTAAGATTGTGCACGTGACAAGCTTGTTTATCGTAGTTGAGCATTTTTAAGATCGATCCAATGACAAATTTGTAAACACTCGATATCATGCTTCTTATCGCGACACAATATCCTGTTCGTAGGAACTCGGCAAAAAAATATTCTTATCTACCAGCTATTTTGGTTCAATTATAAATGTCTTTCACTCGAAAAGCGTCGTAGCCCCGACATTTTGCTATTAGTCGAACTAATTGTACTAACGCGCAGAATTATCTAAGGGATAGCCTGTTGACATAATAATGATGAAATGCTCTGGCCATGTTTATAATGAGTCGCGTTTGTTGACGGATACATGACGTGTCTTTATCTTACGCGCTTATGAGAAACGAATTTCTTCGCGGAGTACGCGATTGCTTAAGAAGGTTTCTAGGTTACTCGACTTGCGCGCGGCAAATTAATGGCGCGTTGTTTACGTTTACATTATGCGTAACTGTGTTCGCATGCAAAGCATATGTGTTCGCGCCTACTTCGCGCTAGTCTTTCTCCTAAAATATATCCTTCTTTCGCACGTTTTTAGCTAACAACGTTTATAAGACGAACGTTCAATTTTTCTGCGATTTACTCGCTGGCACGATGAATTTGAGCATTGCTCTGCCGTGTTTGTTTCAATAGCGAAATAGAATCTCACTTGATGCTCATTTTTGCCATAATATAGCGCTTCTATCAAGCAGCCAGAATTTATTCCCTTTATTGTTGCGCCATTACTTGATAATTTTTGAAGAATTATTAGCGGGAGATCTTATCTCCGTTGCGTAATAACGAAATACGAATTTCACGTAATGCATAGGTGGTAGTGGTACTTTGATCGAAATTCTAGAATTTGTTCCTCCTTTAATTATGCCGTTATTTGATAATCGTTGAAAAATTGCTACCAGATTTTGTAGTAGAAAGTTCTCAGTCTGATTCCCGATGACGTAACTGGGGTAGAACGGGGTTCAAGGTGCTATCATTCTTTTAGCAGCTGCCGGGTAAGGCGATAATACATACATCGGCAAACAAAATTGCGGATCGTTATCGATGTTGTTTGCAGGCTCCTAAATTTCGAGACGCTGCGCTCCGAGCCACGACGCGTCCGTATTTTTCAATGTCAACGTTTTACGTAACGAGAAGAGCTGGCTGGTGCCGTCTAGTGCGCCTGTCCTCTCTTCAATCGGTAAACAATGTAATCATTATTCGCCTGCCTGCCTGCATATCGCGATAAGAATGATAGCAGCGAATCGAAGTGCGACTTTGTGCGGCGCGGTTGCAAAATATAACATTTTTCCGAGAATACGACACGATCTCGTTCGTCCGCGAGATTAGATAATTGCGTTTGAATTTTCCACTTTGGTCAAGGAGACATAAACGTGTTTTGCGATATGACACAGCGTTGGAAAAATAACAATGTTCGTGAAGTATACAGTCGCGTTAATTGCGACTCGGCCGCGTTATTCCGCGTGCGCTTATGAGTATCGACGTGTGACAACACGTCGATGTATGCGCACGACTTATTTCTCCTGCAGAATTCATGCCGAACACGATCGTTCGATCTGGAATTTGGCGTGTATATTATATGATTATCGAGCTGTATTAACGGTATATACGAGCGCGGCTCTTATATTTAGAATGCTCTATTCCGAGTGCGTTCGTGACTGACGGGGGAACATCCGTGCCGAACGTTCTTTAAGCGTTGTATCTCGTGTACGTAAACGCGAGGAAAGCTGGCCGGAAGTGTTTATGCGAAAAGTTAACAGAAGATACGACGGTATACATTCGCGAGCCGCGATGCTTTCACTTCTTCCATCGCGGCGGTAACGCTTTGTTCGGTGTCAAACGGCGGCCTTTGTTCGGTTAATATCAAACTTAAATTTATCCTTTTTAACGAGAATGAAAAGAAAGTTAGGCAATTTTTACACGCATAAGATAAAAATATCAATGATAACGCCGATACTTAACTCTGGATATTTTTATTTGCTTTGCTCTTTAAATGAGTATATAAACTTTCAGTATAGAAGGTATATAGATATATTCTACGTTTTGAAGATTTAAATATTTAAAGACCAAAACAACAAGAATGTCCAAGAGTTAGGTGCCGGTGTTATTAATATCCAAGCATTAGTACTTTTGTCTCAAGTGCCTTTCTCGTATCATTCGTGCGACGTCCGATGAAAATGTCGGCACATACAGGGATACCGTAAAGTTGAAGCACAGGGGCGGTTATCGTGAAAGAGATGAGGTGTGATCGGTACGATGTGACTCGGTTATTACCATCGGGTCAAAGTTGAGGCGAGAAAAATTGAGAAAAATTGAGCGAGATTTTCGAGCAGACGTTAAAAGCGTCGAGGGAGCGAGGATCGGTGTGCATTCGTGTATCTTAGAAACGCTCGAATGCGACACGGACAGGACTATCGAAGGGTCAAGCGGGGATGCACTTCGCGTTACGTGCGTATGTCTCGTTAGCGTGCTGAAAGTTTCCCGTTACGCGTTTCGTCTCGGGGAATATGGCAGAACGAGAATTGTGTCAGTCAAGAAACGCGAGAGCCGTCCAATGACACGGCTTAAATATAAACCGAATACATACGCGCGAGGCCGCGCACGCGAGAGACGCTCCTCTCTTTCTCTCCCGCGAGAATAGACATCGCGTTTCGGGTTCTATTTATGCCCGCGTCGTGTAATTACTAGCCGCCGAGAGTATCGCAGCAAATCGTCGTACAGCGCGCCGTTCTGCTGTTATGCGCGGACGCGACGTTTGCCTTTCTCATTGACGAAACGTTAGGTCGTCGATTCTTTCGAGAAATTTCGACCGGTACTAATCGCCACTTAAAAGAGGAATTAAGCTAAAGAGCGGTGATTAATTTCTCGAAAGAAAATCCGTCGGTGGTCGACGTTCCAGACTGTGTTTGCCCAAGTCTTACGTTTTCACACATCGTCCGATGGCTGTAAGTCGCGCGAGCATGTTAATTAAAAATAGTACACTCGCCGGCCGTCTTCTCCTACGAGGCTTCTCGCCTTCTCGCGCGTCGCGACGTCTCCTCTGGTCGCGGTTCAGCCGGATCGCGACAAATCCATACGAGAAGGGTTCCGGCACGAAATCTGGAATAATTCAATCGTATGTAAATTACAACCTCTGCAGATTCTTGTGCCGCGTATCGTCCAGAAATCTTTGTACACTTCCAAGATTTCGCGTGCAACGACGCTCCATCGCTTTCGTGATGCAACTCTTGCGAGTCACCTAAATGCGCGCGCTAGAGTTGCTGCAAAAGCGGAGGCATCGATGAGCCAGCGGTCAGACCGATAAACGCGCGACGGATCTACTTTCTTTTTAGAAAGTCTCTCGGCGATATTATCGGAAGCGAAATAATTATTTACGAGCAGCGTATCGTAACGTGCCATTCGGCGTTTAACGTCACTTGTGACGGAGAATTTCTAGAATTAGTTTAGTGCCATGAAAGAGAAGGGGAATATCGCAATTAAAGGCTCGCTTAAATCTCGATGATTCTCTTGAGCAGTATATTTGTCGATTGAAAGAGATAGGAATTTGAAAGTAATTTCAATTTTAATTTACACTGCGTATTACATAGCTATTTACACTGATAATTTCAGACCCATCATAAAGCATCTGTGCTTTTGGCGGTCCAGGGATACACTAAAAGTGCCAATGTCGCTCTTTCGTGACAATCGCGAGCGACTCGTCTCGCGTCTCCGAGCGAACAGCCAAGTCTCCGCCTCGGGCACTTTCGTCGTTCTTCAGGGTGGCGAGGATGTCCCTTTCAACGACACGGACATAAACTGGCCCTTCAGACAGGTGCGTGCCTATTCTTTACCATTCCCTTCACCACTCGAGGGAACGTAATTGAGTTGGTGATTTTATCGTGCATTCATTTTCATTCAAAAGTGTCATCCGTTAAATATGTTACGTGCCGTCAAGTATATATCTGCGATCGAAGAGCGACAAGTCGTTCTTATTTTCTCCCCGAACTCTCCGAAGCTCCGTGCAAAAAGTAAAGTCTGCAAATCGCGGTCAACGGTAGACGGGAAGTCCGAAGATTCAAGCGCAATTACGTGGCCCAACTTTTGCAGCTATTTTTGTCGCGGCCGTACTAATGACCGTAAAGACAATTGAACTTGCCGCGAGGTGTTTTCAACTTCATCAACGCGAGAAAGTTCGTTAGATTTATTTCGACAAGAAGAGAAGCGATGTGCGCGATCGCGAATTCATTTCGCCGCGCTCGGGTTGTTTATCGCGAAACTGCGTGTCGACCGGCACACTGGTTGGCAAATTAATCATCGATAAGAACGACACGATGACTGTTCGCGTGTGCAATAATGTATGAGAGGTTGAAACTGATGGGCCTGATTATGCTGAAAAATACTAGGCGCGCAAGTAACATTTCGACAATTACAGACTCCGAGGAGAAAATATCCTTGAGGATTAAGACGTTCTTGTCGTTATACAGCGTCTTGTTGCCATACACGCGAGTGAAGCCGGAGAAAGCCGGTGAGATATGAAAAAGAAATTTACGCAATAAAAGGAATTAGTGTGTTACGGGAGAAGTGTTTCACAGGTTGTCTCGCATTGTACCAACTCAATGTATTTACCGTCTCATTATAGTACAAGTTTATACAAGTCTCTCGCAGCTGGTATCTGCTAAGTCGTCGGCGAGGATGTTGATATCAAATAGTATTATCTGATGTGTCTTGTCGTGTGATGAGCGTTGCAGAATTCTTACGAAATAATGTGAACGCGATAATGTGAATGCGCGTATCGTGCTTCTTTTTCTTTTTAGGGATATTTCTCCCGGGCATTTCGCTTCGTTAACTTTTTATTCGTTCCCTTGATTACCCACGTGAACGAATAAAGCGGAAACGATGAAAATTTCTGAACGTCGGCAAACGGCTCCGTTCAGAAGTTTCATGAATTAGTCGCCTTGCTAATCGGGACTATTTTGGTAAATGGGTTTCGCTACGTTTACATTGTCGCAGACACGTCAAAACATGAGAGTCGTCGAAAATCGACAACCCGATATATCTAAATCGGCACGCCGCACACACACACACACACACACACACACACACACACACACACACACACACACACACACACACACACACACAC